ATCTTCAGTAAAATCTTGCTTGCATGTGAAATCAGTGACCGGGACAAAAAAAAAAAGTGTTCATCTCCCAGGGCTCTCTGAGGGATGAAATGAGATGGTACATACAATGTTTTCATACCCGAGCCTGCCACAGAGCAGCCATTTTTTGAATGAGATTTCTCTTACATGAGATCTCCTAAGAGAGGGATTATGTTGTTGTTTTTTTATAAAAGAAAATTTGAGGAAACTCCTATTGATGTGGGGGGGGGGTGTTGGATATTGTCTTTTGTGCACTGAGTACACAGACTATGGTGGTAAGGGTTTGTCCTGTCAACTCAAAGGAGCACGGTTTGAATCCACCAGCTGCCCAACAGCAGAAAGACGGGCAATCCCCTCCCGTGCAATTTACTGCCTCTGAAAACCCACTGGAGGGCCAGCTATGAGTTGGTTCTGACTCAATGGTAATAACAACATTGGCCAAACAAGCATGTTGGTTCTTTTGCAGGGATCTCAGAAGCTTCTGGAACTCGTCAGATATCACATTGTCGCATTCGCCCAGGTGAGTCCCATGTCTCCTGCCTTTTTTCTACTTTCCAGATACAGGATCTGGCCTTAAAATCCAGTATTTCTGTGCTATAAAAAGTATGATGACTGTATACTATCTGGGGCTCTAATCAAACCCTTAACCATGAATAACTATGATACAAGGAACCTTCAAAGCCACAAAACTTCATGAGATCAAAGTGTTCATTATTTATTTCATTATCTAGAAGGTTCTTTTTATCTGACAAAGGCTAAGAAATCAGAGATCTATATCCTACTCTAAAAGGCCTTGTCTGTGGTTCTCATTTCAGCTGGACGTGGCTACTCTCATTTCAACCCCTCACATCAGAACCCTGGCCAACCAGATCATACAGTTTAATACAACCACAAATGTAAGTGAAGAATCTATGTATTGTACTATCCAATATACCCAAAAGCTAGAAAGCTTGTATCATCAGTCATGCATTTTTGCTCTGATCGTGGCTATTCATCAAACTGTCTGACCTCTATACTAAAGCACCGGCTTAAAATCTTGGATTATTTCATTCATTTTCTTACTTCTCTCAGCAAATATTTCCCAAGAAATTGCCACATGTGAAATTCTGAGCTAGGTGCCGGAGAAGTAGTGGGTTCACATCCCAACGGAGAAACCAGCCGGTAAATAACCAATTAGGTGAGGAGGGAGTTGCCTAATTACAATTTTAATGAGTGTCACCAGTAAGAAGTTTAGGAAACTATTAGAGCATAGAACTGAAAGAGTCTGAATTAATCAGATCACGAAGTGCCCAGTGGGGACATGCCATTTGAACCAGGCTTTGAAGAAATTGGGTAGAGATGAGTGGAGGCGAGTTTCAGGAAGAAGGGACAGCTTGTGCAAAGCCCTGAAGTCGGAGAGTGCATGACTTAGCAAAGAAACTAAAGGAAGACAGGGTTATTCAACTGAGCAAACTCCAAGTCTGTAATATTAGTAACAGCTTGATAGCACAGAGCTGTCTCTCGCTGAGTCACTATTGGTGATGGCAATGATGCTTACTCACCATTTCTAGAAATATCCACTGAGAATCTTGACTGTATCCAGTAACTGGAGATAAGCCAGTGAACAAAGAGACTAAGGTTCCCAGTTTTATGGAACTTTCACTCTAGTAAGTTGGAGGATAGAAAGGAAAAGAGGCCAAAAATTAAAATAAAAGGAAAAGAAGTCAAGTGTTAAAGAGTGATAAGCCCTAAGGAGAAAAACAGTAAAGACGTGAAGGGGATTAGAAAGTATCAGAAAGTGACATTTGAGATGAAATGCCCAAGAGTCTTCCTGGGGAGGAAAACGTCTGAGCAAAGACTTGAAGGAAATGAGAGAAAATGCCTGAGAAAGAGCATCTCGAGGGAAGGAACAGCAAGTGCAAAGGTACAGAGCCGGGAGTGGGCCTGTTTGTTCTTGGGCGGAATGGCAAGGTCAGTGTGGCTGGAATGGAGTGAGCAAAGGGGAGAATACTCAGTGCTACGGACTGAATCGTACCCTCAAGTATATGTGATGAAATCCCAATTGACACACCCATAAATGTGAGCTCACATGGAAACGGTTTGTTTGTGAGTTTTGTTGTTGTTGTTGTTGTGTTTGGAAATGGAAGGGGGGGTTGTTGTGAAATAGTTTGCCTCTGGAAACTCTATGGACGTGGAGAACGATGTAAGTTATACAAGTGTTCAGGTCTTTCGTTCACAGGGTCACTATGAGTCGTCTACAACTCAATGGCATTTTAAAACAACAACATAACCAGAGTAGGATGGATTCTAAATCTAATCATTTCTAAGTTTTAAAAAGAGCAGAACAAAGTCAAAGACACAGAAGAGGGCAAGATGCCGTGTGCAGATAGAAACACAGGACAGATATGAGCTCAGGATCTCCAAGAATACCGACTTCAAGGAGATAACACAGACACAGATCAACTTCCCTTTAGGATCATGAATTCACACTTCTAATCTCTTGAGCTATGAGAAATTTTGTTCTTTCAAGCCACTCACTTGAGGTATTGGTATCACAGCAGTGTTGGGGATCCAAGATATAATACAGTACAAGAGGTGGTCAGGGTAAGGAGAAGGAAGAGAGATAGAGCAAGGTCACATAGAGCCTAGGAAGTCATGGAACAGACCTTGTTACTTGGAATGGGAATTATGAATAGTAGAACGACAAAGGCAGACATACAGTTCTAAGGAGTTATTCTGGCTGCTGTGTTGATAATGGAAGGGAGAGAGAGCAAAGAACAGTAGCAGAAAGACTAGTTAGGAAGTTACTGTAACTCCAGAAAAGATACTGTCATTCCAGAGAAAGCTGTTACTCCGAGCAGAATGAGTGGTCATGAGGAAGTAGTATGTAGTGGCCAGATTCTGAATATATTTTGAAGGCTGGCCCAGCTGAGTTAGCTGGGGGTTTGAAGATGGTCTAGAAAGAGAAGAAGCCAAGGAAGATGTTGAGTTTTGTACTTAGGCAACAGGAAGAGTAAAGTTAGCATTAATTTAGATAAAGAATAGTCCAGGCAATGCATCTTTAAGGGGAAACTGGAGGTAAGAATTTATCATTTTCTGCTTCCTTCACTAGAACATAAACCAAAGATTGTTCTGTTAGTTTACTGGTGTATCTTCAACTCTTCATTCAAGGCCAACATATATTTTTAGACGAATGAATCCTCATTCTATCACAGAATAACACAACAATTTTCCAAGGTCACATCCAAATACACTATAGAAATGGGGAAGTCACACCTCTACCCCAATCCCATTTCTGGCAACTATCCCTTTGTTTGATGCAAGTTTGCCTAAGATGCCACAACAAAGTACCACAAACAGTAGAAGCTTATTACCTCACAGTTCTGAAAGCTAGAAGTTCAAATCCAAGGTGTCAATAGTGCCACATTCACTCCAAAAGCTCTAGGGGAAGATCATTTCTAGGCCCTGGAATTCCTCAGGCATCCACTTGGCTTGTGAATGCATCACTGCAATCTTTGTTTGCATCTTCACATGGCCATGTCGCCTCTGTCTCACATCCTCTTCAAACAGAAAAACAATTGTCGGATTAAGGTGCACCCTCCCCCAGTCTGGTCACATGTCAATTTAGCAAATTACATCTTCAAAGATGCTATTTCCAAACATGATGATGCAAACACCAGGAGTTAGGACTCAAACATACTTTGAAGGGACACAAATCAACCCATAACTTCTACAATTCATTGACCAGAGTCACATTTCCCTGTCAATCAAGCCCTTGTAACAGCAGCTCCTGCCTAGGTAAGTGAAGCAATTCAGTGAGGTCATCACCATTTAGACCTACCTGGTACAAAATAAAAAAAACCCATCACTTCTCTCCAGGGACAGATTCTTGCAAATGGTGTGCCAATAGGAGAAACTGAGGTTACTGCCAAGAATGGCCGAATTTACACCTTGAATGGCGTCCTCATACCTCCTTCCATCATCCCAATCCTGCCTCACAGATGTGATGAAACCAAGAGAGAGATTAAATTGGTAAGTGACCTAGGAAAATAAGTGAGGACAGCCAAGCAGCCAGAACCTGGGCCCTGAGGAGATAGTGTTCCACTCCTCCCAGTTCTAAAGACGAAACACCTGTTATGGGAACCTTGGCCCTCAAGAGCCTCTGCCTTATACACACATGAGCTGGAGATTGTATCTCATCAACTGTGAACCAAGGTCCCGTGGAGAATTTCCATCGTGTTCTGGGGCCAGAGGAAGGCTATTTCCTCCCACAGAGCTTAGTGTCTGTCTCCTTTCTCTCCCTCTCCCTGTCATTTTGGTCCATGTGCTCCAGGCCCATGGCTTCTCTTCTCCTTGAGAGATTTTCAGCAGAATTTTTCTTAGCAAGATGATCTGGTCAACTGGTCAACCATCTTTCCATCGTTCTTTTTTTTAAAAAAAAAATCACATTTTCTGTTTTCCTGTGAGCTCATATGCTGTCTAATGCCCCTTTCTGTTTCCATAGCAACTGGGTGACTCAGACACTTCTGGTTAGTGTACCCCAATTTTTAATCCTGTTGTCCATAGCATCTTCTGGTTCCCATGGAAACAATAACTTCAAAGTTATAGAAATAATATCTCTGAGTCTTTCTTTTCAGGATACTTATAGCCCTGATTGTTCTCTCACTGTCCTTAAAACATGGACATCAAACAAGTAACACTTTTTTAACGTCATCGGATCAATACTAACTCACAGTAAGCCCATGAGTCACAGAGTAGAACTGCTCTATAGGTTTCCTTGACAATATTCTTTATGGAAACAGATCTCTCTTCTTCAAAGCCACTGAGTGAGGGTGACCCACCAATCGTTAAGTTACATCACACAGGGACAGTTGAACAAGGAATAATGGCCCCGTTTTATAGATTTTCTTTTTAGAGCTCCTCCTTCCTGCCATAAAGGCTGGAAATGAATAAGGCTTGTGGCTGGTTTCTTTGATTCAAAATTTCATGAAGCAACAATGTCAGTCGAGGGACTAAGGTGTGCTTGATCCAGGCCATGGTCTTCGCAATTACTTGCTATGCGTCAGAGAGCTGGACAATGGCTAAGGATGACAGAAGAAGAATGTGGTGTTGGAGAAGAGTCTTGAACATTCATGAACCGCCAAGAAAACAAATAGGTCTGTCTTGGAGAGGATGAAACCAAGTTTCTCCTTGGAGGCTGGGATTTTGTAGCTCTGTCTCAGATACTTTGGACACGTGGCCTGGAGGGACCAATCCTTGAAGAAGGACATCATGCTCGGAAGGGTGGAGGGCCAGAGCAGGAGAGGAAGTCCTTGGATGAGATGGAGTGATTCAGTAACTGGGACTAAGAGCAGGTGTGTCAGAGTCAGTGAGACTGGCTCAGGACAGGGCAGGCTTCAGAGCTGTCACTATGTCACTTCATAGAGTCACTCTGAGTCGCAGGCACCTTGATGGAAACACAACAACAACAATCTCTCTGATCTAGTCTCAAGTAATGTGTCTAATGACTGATATATTTTAGCCGGCTGTGGATGGACAAGTCAGATACCACCTGGAGCTTACGATTCAATTCTGAGCATCTCTTTTTTAAGAGAAGCAAAAACCCAAGTCATTTCCCCAGCAATATTCTTGGCAATATTCTCAGCAAATATTCTTGGCAATATTTCTCTCTGGGAAGCACTGACACATGAATCACCTGGCTTTAACTGCAGTGAGGCTCAAAACAGACCAGATGGGAGCAGTCACATCTCCTGTCTCAAAAATTCACTTATATTAGGAAATGGCCTCTGCACAAGAGAAAGGGAAAGGGGTCAACAGTGAGGCCTGTCCTTCAGAACCTTCTCCACTAATCAGCTCTGAAAATGCTCCAGGAAGGAAGTCTAGGGAGGCTTGAGGGTAACTTCCTAAACTGCCTGCCTCCTTGTAGGTTGTTCTCATTCAGGTTATTCAAGTGTCTTCTCTATCTCCCCAAATGATGTGATCAAGATAGAGTCCTGAACTGCAACCACAAGAATGCTGGTGAGACCAGAAAAAATTTTCGAGTATGAATTTAGAAGGACATCTTTTTCTTATTCTTGTAGACCTAAAATGTAGATCTAAAGTCAAATTGTTCTTCCCTGCATGATTTTGATTGAGTCTGTTACTGGAATGAAATTCCTGGAGGGTACAAACAGCTCTGTGGCCTAGTCTGTAGGGATTTGTTCTGCTCATCCAAAGGTCAAGACTCTCTGGCCAGTGTTCTGAGGGAAAAGGATGGACAGTCTTCTCCCATGTGATTTACAGCCTCAGAAATGTGACGGAGGGTGAGCTACAAGTTAGTTTTGACTTGAAAGTAATGAGTAGCTAACCTAAAGACTGGTGGTTCCAGTCCATTTCAGCAGTGCTGCAGAAAACAAAGGACTGGCAAATTCCTCAAGATTGTTGTGTTGTTAGGTGTCACTGAATAGAGTATGGCCCATAGCAAACCTATGAACAACAGATTTGAACCCTGTCTTATCCTGTGCCATTCTCACACTTTCTGACACATTAGGTCCTATTGCAGCAGTCACTATGTCAATCCACCAGGTTGAGGGTCCTCTCTTTTGCCAACCCTCCACCTTCCCAAGCATTATGCTCCTCTCCAAAAAAGAGCCTCTCCTAGCAACATGCCCCAGTATGTGAGAGGAAGCTTTATCATCTTCACCTCCAAGAAACACTCTGGCTGCACTTTCTCCAAGACATATTTGTTTGTTCTTTGGCAGTCCATGGGAGCTTCAGTACTCTCCTCCAATACCAGAGCTCAAAGGCATTAATTCTTCTTCCGTCATCTTTATTCATTATCTAGCTCTCAGATGCATAGCAAATAGTAAAAAAGACCAAAGCCTGAATCAGACTCACCTTTGTACTCAAACTGACATCATTACTCCTCAATAATTTGGAGAGGTCCCTGACTGCAGACTTTGTCAGTGCACTACATCTCCTGATCTCCTGACTGCCAGTACCAAGGGCATATTGATTCTGGATCCAAGTAAGATGAAGTTGTTGACAGTTTCAATCTCTTCTCCATCTATCATGATGTTGCTAAGTCCAGTGGTGAGAATTTTTGTTTTCTTGACATGGAAATGCAATCCATATTGAAGGCTAAATTTTTTTTATCTTCTGGGACAAATGCTTCAAGTCCTCCTACCTTTCAGCATCAAGGTTGTGTCATCTGCATAAAGCAGGTTATTGAGGAGTATCCCACTTCTCATAATCTTGATGCCACATTCTTCTTCAGAGTCCAGCTTCTCGAATAATTTGCTCAGCATATAGACTGAATAGGTATGAGGAGAGAATACAAACCTGACTCACTTCCTTCTTAATTTTAAACCAAGTAATGTTTCCTTGCTGTCTTTACATAACACCCTCTTGGTCCAGGTAGGTTTCTCATGAGCACAATTAAGTCTCCGAGATTCCCATTCTTCTCAATATTGTCCATAGCATGTTGTGATCCACACAGTCAAATGCATTTTCACAATCAATAAAACATTAATAGTCATTCTTGTGGTATTCTTTACTTTAAGCCAAGATCCACTGGACATCAGCAATGATACCCCTGGTGCCATGGCCTCTTCTAAATGCTACTTGAAGTTCTGTGCTAGCCATTTATTTTTTTTTATGATCTTCGAAAGGAGTTTGCTTGCATGTGATAGTAATGATATTTTTCAATAGTTTACACATTCTATTGAATTACCTTTCTTGCAAATGGGAGCAAATATGGACTCTTCCAGTGGACAGATAGCTGTTCTCCAAATTTCCTGGCATAGACTGGTGAACGCATCCAGGGCTTTAAGTGTTAATTGAAACAAGTCAATTGGCATCCCATAGATCCCTGAGGCCTTATTTTTTTTTTGCAAATGCCTTCCATGCAGCTTCCACTTCCTCCTTCATTACTATTGATTCCTGCTCTTATGATTTCTTGTTTGTTGTGGTTGTGGTGTACCATCAAGTTGGAACTGACCCATAACTGACACTCCAGCGGCTATTCAGAGGCAGTTAATCACAAAGGAAGAGACTGCCCATCCTTTCTGAAATTCTTCAATGTCAGTCAGTTCTTTCTTGCACAATGACTCCATCTTCTTTTAATGCTTCCTGAGACATTGAATATATTGCGCATAGCATCTTTCAGTACTGTAACTCGAGGCTTAAATATACTTAGCTTGGAAAACACAGAACAAGTTCCTCCCTTTTTATTCTCCAATTCCAGTTCTCTACACATTCCAAAATTTTTATTTCCTTCTCTAACCGCCATTTGAAATCTTCTTCAGTTCAGCTCTTTGGCATGTTTTCCTTTTTTTTTTTTTTCTTCCCAAAGCTCTAGTCATTCTTTCCAGAGTCCCTTTTTCTTTTTTTTTTTTAATTACACTAATTTATTTATAAAATTCAAATACACTGTTTTTCAGACCACATTTATTTGGAGGTTTTGTGGGGTTTTTTTTTCTGTCTCCTCTGTCTTTATAATGATCTTTTGGTCTCTTCATGGATGATATCCTTAATATCATCCCATAACTCATCTGGTCTTTGATCACTGGTATCTAATGCTTCAAACCTATTCTTAAGACGATTTTGAAATCCAGATGGAATAGATTCAAGATCACGTTTTCATTCTCATGGACTTGTTTTCATTTTCTTTGGCCTCAATTTGCACTTGCTCATGAGTAATTGATGGTCCAACCCAAGTTCGGCCCTTGCCTAGTTTGTTTTTTTTCTATTGGTTTTGGGTTTGTTTTTGTTTTTTTTACATTTGACAACATCTCTGTTTTATTTTTCATGATAGACATTTCAACAATTTGAGCTTTTTTTTCTCTTTTATTATATAAAATTTATAAATTATAGAATTTTCAAAATTTGAATACATTGTTTTCCAGAACAGATTCTTCCACTTTCCCTCACTGCCCCCCCCATTAAATTGTACGACTCCATGATTAATCCCCCCTCCCCAGGCACATCCTCATTGCTCTGAAAATACCCTCCCCCTGCCTTGGATCCTTATACTCATTCTACAATAATGGTTTTATACAATATTTGTCCTTGTGGAACTGAGGTAGTTCACTCAGCATAATGCTCTCCAGTCCCTCCCAAGTTAGGTAATAATTCACAAAATCATTGCTCCTGTGTGTTATATAGTATTTCATTGTGTAAGTATACCATAACCTCTCAATCCATTCATTTGTGGTTGGACGTTTGGACCGTTTCCATGTTCTTGTGATGGTGAATAATGCTAATATGAAACATTGGTGTACAAGTTTCCATTTGTGCCTAAATTGTAATTTTCCCAGGGTATATTCCAAGTAGTGGAATTGCTAAGTCAAATGGAACTTCTATGTTTGGCTTGTTGAAGAAGCAACCAACTGCCTTCCAAATGGTTGTACCATTTTACAATCTCATCAACAATGTATAAGAGTTACTTTCTCACCACATCCTCTCCATCATTTATAACTTGCTGCTCTGTTAAACTCTGCCATTGTTACTGGAGTGAGATGGTACCTCATTGTGGTTTTGATTTGCATCTCTTTTATTGCCAATGATTTGAAGCATTTCTTCTTGTGTCTCTTTGCCATTTAAATATCTTCCTCTGTGAAAATTCTTTCCATGACTTTTGCCCATTTTGTAATTGGGTTATCAGTCTTTTTCTTGTGGAGGCCCAGGAGTATTTGATAAACTTTCATTATGATACTCTTACCTGAGATGGTATTGCCAAATGTTTGTTCCCAGTCGGTAGGTTTCTTTTGACTGCCGATATTAAGCTTCTCCAACAATTTCTTCCACAGACGTAGCCAATCTGATTTCTATGCAGACCATCAAGCGAGATTCATGGGTAAAGTTGCCATTTGCGTTTATTTAAAATAGGCATTTGCAATGAATAAATCATTGAAAATAAAAAATTGATCATTCTGTTTCCAGCCTCATTTCTGTCTTCCAGCCCCTATATGCTAACTATTGTTCCTTCTTCACTGTTTCCAGCTTTTGCATTCCAGGCTCCAATTATCATTTAACAGATCTTGATTGCATGTTTGGTCAATTCTGGACTGCAAGTATGGTAAAAATGTTCAGTTTCTCCCTCTACAACTGTAGATGTAGGAGTGTATATTTTAAAATAGTTGTATTAACAGGTCTTCCTTGTATGCATATGGATAATATCCTATCACTCACAACACTACCTCAGGATAGAACTTGAAATTGACTTTTTGATTATGAATGCAACATTCTTTTTCTGTTTTTCATTCCTAGCATAGTATACCATGTGATTATCTGCTTCGGTGTGGCCAAGGCTAGTCCATCCCATCTCACCAATTGCCTAGAACGTCAATGTTCATGTGTTCCATTTCATTTTCACAATATCTAGTTTTCCAACACTCAAGCTATGTACACTCTATGTTGCAGTTAAAGGACGTTAGCCCTGATTTTCCTCATTTCACCTGAGTTCCAATCTGGGCTCTCCCATTAGCTATTACTGTCCATCTTCCTCTACTTCTGAAGATTCCATTCAAGAAAACCCTTTGGAACAGCTTTATTCTGTACACATGGGTCAGCATGAGGGAGGATCTTCTCCACGGCAATGGATTAAAGGCTTCCAAACCAGGGAGGGTAGCTTCTGACCAGAGATGTGGTGTCCTCCACTCCATCTTAAAGGGACGCCTGTACTGACCAGTGTCTTTCCTTCCAGGGCATCTGTGTGAGCTGTTCCCTGGTGTACTGGAGCAGCTGTCCTGCTAACTCGGAGCCCACAGTGAGTGTGACCGCTGCATGAACCTAGATCATCAGAGCTACCCGCTGGCGCGGTTCTCATCATTCCTGCCGTCTCTTTTTGAAAGATTTTATGTTGTTGATGTCTTCCTAAGACCAACTAGTTTCATGTCAGTGCTAAAGATTATCTGTTTGCCTTAAGCATTATGCTCTTAAAAAAAGTTTATTTTGGTTTGCTTACAAAGTCTTTATACTTTGTGTTTCACACTATCCCTCATCCACATTGTAGTTCATACAATCATTCCTATTCATTATATTTTATAAAACCAGTCAGCATTGAATTATGCCCACCATGGCCCTGTCTTTCCAGAGCTCGCTCTAAAACTCACCCTCGCCCATCAAGACAATTCAGACTCCTGATGACCCTCCAAGGCTGTAAACTGTAACAGGAAGATACTGCCTCATCTTTCCCTGACTAAATGACTAGTGTATTTGAACCACTGACCTTTCCTTTAGTGGCTCAATACAGAACCCTCTATATCACTAACGTTCCTGTTTTAGATCTACAGGGGACCCAAGTGCTGTAAGTTGAAATTATCCACCTTTGGCTTGGTAGCATAACTTTCTATCCACTCAGCAAACAGAGCTCTCTCTATGTTGTTGTTATTGTTGTAAGTGTTGTCGAGCCATAGATGACCCACAGTAACCCTATGAACAAAAGACCTGAACACTTGTATAACTTTCATCGTTTCTCCATGTTCATAGAGTTTCCGGAGGCAAGCTATTTCAGAAGTAGTTGCCACTATCAAACATAAATTCCTCCTATATAGAAATGATGGAGCCAGTAGAAGTCGAGCTCTAATTTCTAGGAGTCTCTGGGTGGTTCTGGTGACTAAGGCATCTGGCTGCTAACTGAATGGTTGGAGGGTTGTTTACTCAGTGGTGCCTTGGAAGAAAGGCCTGGCAACCCACTTCTGGAAAATCAGCTGTTAAAGCCCCAAGGAGCATGGCTGTGCTTTGACATGCACGTGGGGTCACGGTGAGTCAGAGTTGAACCAGTAGTAACTGCTTGATTTGTAGAGAATAGCAACCGCCCTGAGGTTGTTTCCCTAAGGAGCAGGGGGAGATTCAAATGCTGCTTTTCATTCTCCAGCCCCTGACGGCCCCTCATAATTACCAGGACCTGCCATTTATGCAGAGAATTTGCTATGAACCTGACACACTGCACCAAAGTTGATCAACCCTCTGAACAACCCCATGTGGTTGTATTTTAACCCCTTTCTTGAGGAAAGGGAACCGACAGGTCTGAATTGTCTTGAAGAGAGTTCACGAGGTTTAAAGCTGCAAAGGCTGTAATGCTCAAGACAAACAGATACTCTTTAGAACTGAAACCAAACTATGGTGAGATCTTAGGAAGACTTCAAGATACAAGTTAACGTCTTGAGGCTCTAACAGGTTTAAGTCTGTTTTTGAGGAACTCTGCCAGTAATGGCAGGTGCAAAGAACAGACCTCTCCACCTACTAACTTTACGATTGCTGGCAAGTCATTGAGTCTCTCTGGGCCTCAGGTGCCTAATACCCAAAATGGGGCAGTAATGCCAATCTCAAGCTTTACCACAAGAATTCAGCTCCTTGCCGAGACAAAAAACATTCTAGATGTTTATGTCAACCTTATCCCTTTTTCTTAGGCTTTTGCTTAAAAGGAGATCAGTAAGTATATCACAGGCAGGAAGTACTCAAATCTAAGATTTAAAATGAAAAGGAAAAAACACACAAAACACCTCAAATGCACTGCCTTTAAGACAGTGCCTACTCGTGGTGACCCTCAGTGGGGGTCACGGAGGCTGTAAATCTTAAAGGGAGGAGAATGCCCGTCTTTCTCCCATGGATATGTGGGTAGGTCATCTATGACTCTACAGCACATAACAACAACAATTTATATGAAGGGGTAGTAAGGTACAGGTGGGGTGAGTGTTGAAGTGTTCCCTGATTGATTCCAGGTACACATCATCATCTAGAAAGAACCGTGTGCTATATATTGTGCTCTCTGCACCACATTCTACAAAGAAGTAGAATTGTAAAAAGGGGCACAAACCTATCCTTAGGGGTCATGCTTTGACTTAGGCACAGGAGCGCTGGACTGCTCAGAGCTCTATCTTGACATGCATGGTAAAATGGAAAGCCCACTGTGTATAGAAGCCGGGTGACGCCCAGAGGATCTTCAAGTACAAATTAAAAACATTCTTTCTCCTTGGCTTTCTGTCAGGCGCTGTTCACCCACAGATGTGTCTACACCAGCAAGGTCCAGAGCCTGAAGAGGGGCTGTGCCAGATACTGCAATGTCACTGTCAAGGTGAGGTGTATACCTGGCCAGGTTCTCAGACCAGGCTGCAGAGCCCAGAAAAAAAAAAGCAGTCTGCTCCAGGAGCCACACCCTCGGGCCCCAGGACCTTAGACCAGCTTGTAGCCTTGCCAGTGTCTTCCTACAGGGGGACCACAGGCCAGATCCTCTGTATGTGACCAGGGCACCCTCCTCCCCACATCAAATTCTTCCCAAGTCTTCTGCCTCACTTAGCATGGCACCCCCACACTCCAGACATTTCCTTCTGCCCTTCCCCCTCTTGTCTTTGACCTTCACTCCTAAGGCTGCATATTTGCTCCTCTCCTCTTTGAAAACTCTCTCATAGATTATCTTGGAACTGATTCACCTTTCAAGGTTCCAATTAAATACCACCTCCTCCATGAAGCCTTCCCCAACTAAGCAAATCCAATGTGGTCCCCGTCTTCCTCCACCTGCAGCTACTTTTTTGATGGTACTTTGCTCTCCCAAACCACAACCAATTGCCATCAAATCAATTCTGCCTCACAGCAACCAAAAAAGAAGCAGAACTATACCTCATAGGGTTCCCAGAGCTGCAAATCTTTACAAAAACCGACTGACTTGTCTTTCTCATGCAGAGGGGCTGATGGATTCAAACCACCAACCTTAAAATTAGCCATGCAACATTTAATCCACTGCCCCACCAGGGATCCATACAGCATTTACCACACTCTAAAACTCTTGCCATAGTCCATTAAGAGTTATGCTGCAAACCCAAAGGCTATGGCTCCCTGGTGGTTCAATTCTACCAGCAACTCCTGGGGGGAAAGATGGGCACTGTCCTCCTATGAAGTTTACAGCCTCGGCGACCTGCTGCTCGGTCAACTGTACGTCAGTTCTGACTCAACAGCAGTGGGTTGAATTGAGCTGGAATTTTCTTAGGGAGCTCCTGGAGCCTAGACCATAGAAAGGTGTGCTGATAACCCGAAGGTGACGCGCATGGAGGTGCAGCCTCGAGAGAGCTGCTGGGAGGCCGGCTATGCGGCAGCTCTGACTGCATCGCAATGAGATTTTCAGTTAAAATTCTCTTTTTTTGCTGTTCACCCAACCACTTGGAGGTAGATTCCCCAAGTAAGGGCCTTCCTCTGTCATTATGTCATTGCCCACGGGGGAGACACTCACTAGATACACGTAGACAGTGCACGGAGCACAGCAATGTCACCAAGTACAAAAGAAAATGTCACTCTAAAGAGAAGCTAGAAGAGTTTCTGATCATACTGGGTCAGAAAGGAGATTGCTTTGGGGGGAGCCAGTGCTCTGTCTGGGGCCTAAAAGAACAAAATTTTTGTTTCTCAGATACCTCAGTGCTGCAAAGGCTTCTACGGACCTGACTGCAATCCATGCCCAGGAGGTTTCTCGAAACCGTGCTCAGGAAATGGACAGGTGACAAATGCAATCTCTCATGCCGCTATTCCTGAATGGTAGAGACTGACTTTTCAAAGGCAAGCTGGTGTTGTTGTGAATCAGAACCAATTCATAGAGGATACTCACCAGCTATCTCCCATAGAGTAGCTGGTGGATTAGAACCACGTGCCTTTGGGATGGCAACACAGCTCCTTACCACTAGGCTACCAGAGTTCCAAGTTGAAAAGTAATATTTAAAGTTAAAAGTCAAAAAAGTGAGGCTCATTCACAGGCAAAAGAAAAGAGAAAATCAGCTGGAGTTCAGAGACTTCAAGTGTGTATGTGTGTTTGGGCACACATGTGTACAGAACAGTGTTCCACAGAGTTTTCAATAGCTTTCATATTTCAGAACGGGATCACCAGGCCTTTCTTCCAAGGCACCTCCATGTGAAGTTGACCCTCCTATCCAAGGATGATAAAAGAACAGAGCAGTTACTGAAAGAACAAACAGCGTATGCAGGAGAAGGGATCCTGGCCTAGGCATCTAAAGTGAGAAGATTGTTATGATGCTGCTGCCTCCAGTCTGTTGTTCTCTGATTGCCATGGCCACGAGCAATGCAGCAAGGCTTTCTGAACCTCAGGGTCAGTTTGTGAGAAATCTCAATGATTTCCTCCAGAACTAGGATTTTATGGTATTAAAATTTAAAAAAAGGTCACTGCCCAGTGATTGCTTTCTTTTCCTTCCACTCATCTGAAAGCCTAGTAAAAGCCAAAAATTAACTCGCTGAGCTTGCAGGCCAGAGCTAAATTAGCACAAGTGAAAGTAGCTGGGATTTGTATGGGGCAATTCTAAATCTTAATTCCAACAGCTGAACAGAAGATTCCAAAAGGCAGCACGGGATGACAAAGCAAAATATTACAATGAAATGTGCAAGGAGCTAAAGTCGGAAAATCAAAAGGGCTGAACTCATTCAGCATTTCTTAAGCTCAAGAAATTGAATAACAAATTCAAACCTAGAGTTGCTATAATCAAGGATGCTTTAGGCAGAATATTAAATGATCCAGGAAGTAGTAAATGAAGATAGAAAGAATATACTGAGTCACTGTATCAAAAGGAACTGGCAGACACAGAGGAATTTAATGAAATCACATATGAGCAAGAGCCTATGGTGATGAAGGAAGAAGTTCAAGCTGCTCTGAAGGAAATAGCAAAAACTAAGGCCCCAGGAATAGACGGTATGCCAATTGAGGTATTTCAGCTAACAGATGCTGCCCTGGATGTGCTCACCAAGTTGTGCCAAGAAATCTGAAAAACAAACACTTGGCCAACTGACTGGAAGAGATCTATATTGGTTCCCATTCCAAAGAAGGGTGATCCAACAGAGTGTGGAAACTATAGAACAATAGCATTGATTTCACATGCAAGCAAGATGCTACTGAAGATTATCCCAAAACGACTGGAACAGCACATCAGAAGAGAACTGCCAGAAGTCCAGGCTGGGTTTAGAAGGGGTCCTGGTACTAGGAATATTGTAGCTGATGTTAGGTGGATCTTAGCTGAAAGCAGGGAATACCAGAAGAATGTCTATCTGTGTTTCATTGATTACTCAAAGGCATTTGACTGCGTGAATCATAACAAACTGTGGCTGACTCTGAGAAGAATGGGCATCCCAGAACACTTGATCGTTCTAATGCGAAGCCTATACTTGGACCAAGAGGCAGTAGTCAGAACAGAGCAGGGAAACACTGCATGGTTCAAAATTTGGAAAGGTGTACGCCAGGGATGTGTCCTATCTCCATACCTTTTCAACCTGTATGCATAACAGATTATCCGAGAGGCTGGGCTCTATGAGAAGTGTGGTGTCAGTATTGGTGGAAGATCTATTAACAATCTATGTTATGCAGATGACACAACCCTGCTTGCTGAAACTGAGGAGGACCTCATGCACTTGCTGCAGAGGGTCAAGGACTGTAGCCTTCAGTATGGATTGAGGCTCAATGTCAAGAAGACAAAGATTCTCACCACTGGACCAATTGGCAGCATCAGGATGGATGGCGAAGAGATTGAGATTGTATACAGCTTTAGTCTGTTTGGCTCCACAGTCAACACTCTTGACACCAGCAGCAGCTAGGAAATTTAAAAAAAGTATTGCTATGGGAAAGTCTGCTGTTAGGGACCTCTCCAGGTTACTGAAGAGCAATGGTGTCACTCTGGAGACTAAGGTGCGTCTGATACAGGCTATGGTCTTTGTAATCTCTTGTTACGCATCAGAGAGTTGGATAATGACTAGGGAGGATAGAAGGAGCATTGAGGCCTTTGAGCTGTGGTGCTGGAGAAGAGTATTGAATATACTAGGGACTGCCAAGAAAACAGATTCATCCTGGAGAGGGTCAAACCAGGCTGCTCCTTGGAGGCAAGGATTCTGGGGCTTTGTCTGACATACTTTGGACATGTTGTAAGGCGGGACAGGTCTTAGAGAGGGACATCATGCTTGGGAGGGTGGAGGGACAGCGCAGGAGGGGAAGACCCTCTATGAGGTGGATTGATTCAGTGACTGGGGTAATCAGGATGAATGTGTCAGAGGCAGTGTGATTGGCACAGGATAAAGCAGGGTTTAGGGCTATTGTACATACGGTTGCTATGAGTCACAAGCAATTTGACGGCAACAACAATTCTAGATCTGTACACCTGAGAAATGTACATCTGAAAGGTAGCTTTCTCACAGGGGCAGAGAAACTGGGGGGCCTTGGGTGACTGCGGACACCAACATAGGTAAGGAACAGGGGTGGTGAAGTAGGTGACTATGGCCAGTGGTTGAGAAGACAGCCAGGTCCAACTCTGCTGCGTGCCAGACAGTACAAATCTAACCTTGCGGGGCTGGGAATGTGGATGCCAGGAATTTGTATTTGGAAAGAGAAGACTATGAACTTGAAGTCCCAGAGCTGAGGGAGTGAGAATCTAGAGAGGAGTAGTAGAGGCCTCTGAAAGGCGTGCCTGACTGCTGACACCCCATAAGTCCTGCTTCACCATCGCAAGCCCCCTTTGGTATTTTCCTGGTGACTTCCCTGAAAGTCCCAAGTCCTACAAAGACCCCCAAACTCGTCTTCATGCCCACAGCCTGGTGGCGTGGAGTTGATCCTGACTTACGGTGACCCCATGCATTTCAGAGTAGGACTGTGTTCCATACGACATTCCATCATGGCTGGGTTTGCAGGAGTAAATCTGCAGGGCTTTCTTCTGAAGCTCCTCTGGGTAAACTTGAACTTGCAAGCTCTAGGTCAGTAGTTCAGCATGTTAACCACTTGTACATGCAGGAACTGGATGCATGACTCACGTTCTATAGGGAGTCCCAATGAGTCATTCCAAAAGCAATCTACTCTGAATTCAAAGCACTGAGGTCATGAAATCCAAGGATGCAGGGTTCGTATGTCAGCGTGTGTTGTCCTGACGGCCCACGGGTCTGCCTTTGTCCCCAGTGTGCAGATGGCCTCAGTGGCAATGGGACATGCATGTGTGAGGATGGCTTCCAAGGCTCTCACTGTCAGTTCTGCTCCAATCCCAATAGATATGGACCTCGATGTGACAAAAGTAAGTGGCCTTTATTCCTCTTTAAGCCATAATTGTGATGCATGCCACCATGATGCATTTCTTCCTTTAAAAAGAATAATAATTCTGGAAGTTCAGATGAATGTGCACAGAGCACACCAGTCTCTTTTTAGCTATTTCTACTCATTTTGTTTCACTTCATTAGCTGTAAGCCCGTCAGTGTAACAGCGCTATTCCTGCTTCCTCCCTGGTTCTCTATTTCCATTTTTCCTTCTTTCCTGCTTACTGAACTTTGACTTTGGACAAGTCCTGCCTTTTCAGTGTCCTGTGGTTTCCTGTCCTGAGAAGAATGTTTCTCAAGGGGGTTACTGTTTACTTTATAGGCATGTCTATTGTTTGATACTGAGAGGATGTTGCTAGTCTTCCCTCTTTTCCTGTTTCCCAGTCCAATGAGTCTATCTATGTGTCAGGAAGCATGAGGATGGCACAGAGTAGGACAGGGTTCAGAGCTTTTATTATTATTAATATTATTTTATATCGCTTTGCTCATATACATTGTGTTTCACACTCTTCTTCATTCAGTTTGTGTTTCTTACAATCATTCTCATGCACTGTTTTATAAAATCAATCACCACTGAATCTTACCCATCATTACTCAATCTTTTTTGTCCCCAAACCTTCCCATTTCCTTCACACGTTCAGTTTGTTTGTTCACAGGGTCTCTAAGAGTCGTAGTTGACTCAGTGGCACCCAACAACATAATGATGGATGGATGGATGGATGGATGGATAGATAGATCATTCTCTTTCTTTATAACAATGGTCATATACAAGATTTGTTCCTTTTGTGATTAACTTATTTCACACAGCACAACATCCTCTAGATGCAACCATGTTATGCAGTGTTTTATTGTTTTCAGTGTTGCATATACCTCTGGAAACTCTACGAACTTTAAGAAATAACAATAGTTCTAGAAGGGTTTCAGGTATTTTGTTTGTAGAGTTGCTATGAGTTGTGCTTGACTCAACAGCAATCAACAACAACAATGTTGCATAGTACTCCATCTTCCTTAATAACATATTCAATTTTGATTAAAGTTTACACAGAAGAGCAGGTTTCCATTCCATAATGTCTACATAAAGTTTTCCACTGATCACATCCTTCCCACTTCATACATATTCTCATTATTTCAGTTCTTCTTGTTCTGTTTTCATTATCTAGTTTCCTGCCCTCTTACCTTCTCATCTTTGTTTTGAAAACCATTGGCCATTTGAAGGGTCCTCATATAGATAGTTCTGTAAAGCATCAAAGCCGGTATTCCTTCTTTTGTGAGCCGATCTGTTGTTTAGCTAAAAGGTAACTTCGATGCCTTGTTTCAAGTCAAAGTTTAAGGAATATCTCAGGAAAAGTGTCTTGGGGAGTTCTCAACCTGTCCAGTAAGATGGGATTTTTTAAAAATTTTGATCTCTGTTCTTCAGAATTTCTGAGTCTGTAGACCAAAGTAGTGGCCTACAAATTTGCATTTCTCACAAGCTCACAGATGTTGTTGCTGTTGCTGGTCCAGAGATCATGCTTGAGAACCACTCTCTTAAGTTTTCCCTCCTCTAAGGAGGTCAGGGGGGTTCTATATCAAGAAAGCAGCTTTCAAGACCCTTCTCCCACCACTTCTGCCGTTTGTAAAATATCTAACCTTAGACAATTGTCCTTATCTCTCTTACTTCAATTTTCTTATCTGTAAAATGGGAATAATGATCGTAACTAGCTTGTACATGTTATAAATGGAAAGGATGTTAGACCATGGTGTGTAGTACAAATATTTTGTTGTTGTTGTGTACTACTGAGTCAGAGCTGACCCATAGCTTGACCCTCCAGCAGGTTTTCAGAAGCAGTTAATCACACAGGAGGAGATTGCCCACCCTTCTCCCATGAAGCAGCTGGTAGATTCAAACCACATGCCTTCGGGATTGCAGCACAGCTTCTTGCCATTAGGCCACCAGAGCTCCCACCAACATTGTAGCTGTTATTATTTGTTATTGTTGCTGCCATTTGTGTTGCCATTTCTCTAAGTCCAATGACACTGAGATTAACAAACTATGTCAAATACAAAGTTCCATAACAGTAGATATCGGACACATGCAGTTATGCAGTCATAGAAAATCCATTATGCCCTTTAAGATGGCATCCTGTGTGGATTTAAATTTACAAATGTATTTTTAGAAATTTATTTCTCAGTTAAGATCAGAACATAATGATAAAATTAAAATAATTAGGTGCTGTGGAGTCAGGCTAATTGAGGGGAAAATTCCAAGGTCTATTTGACTTGAGGAGAGGGAGAATCTCTCATTGGACCTCAGTTTTCTCATCTGTGAAATAGAATATTGGAACCTACATCATAAATGTTTAAAATCATAACATTTTACTGGGAGCCCTTGTGACCTTGTGGTAAGAAGCTGTACTGCAACCCAAAAGGAACGTGGTTTGGATCCACTAGATGTTCCACAGGAGAAGGATGGAAATCTCCTCCTGTGTAATTTACTGCCTCTGAATATCTTCTTGGGGTGGGGGGTGGTCAGCTATGGGGCAGTTCTGATGTGATGGCTCTCAAAAACAACAGCACATCATAAACTGTTGACAGGATTAAATAGCTAGAAACTTAGAACTTTTAGTTGACCACTGTGGTGTCAGCCTAAAAGTTGGCACATTTTAGCCATTACAGTTAGGCCTCTCTGGTCTCCAGCCTCCTTAAGACACATGGTGACCTTGAAAATACATTGTCTTGCAAATAATCAACAGCTGTGGGACTAGGATAAGATAAAAAGTGCTTCCCACACTGAGCAGCAAAACAGCGGTAGCAAGACTTGAGGGAGATTGGAGTAAGACCCTAGTGGCGAGACTCTGATGATAGTGGTAGGGAGACTGTGGCATTGCTGTGGAGAAACTGTGGCAGAGTATGACCTAAGGCTTCTTGCATTCTTGTTGGCCACAGTTAAAGGTTTTGCAATTCTTGCCTTAATGGAAGCTTTGATGATAAAAGGGAAAGCTACTTGCTGAACTGAAACCAGAACCTGAACTAATTGAGTTGTGCCTTGGAATTGTTGGACTAAAATCTGTACTTGTATTGTGAGATATTCCTTACCTCTCCAACTTAATTCCCTAATAAACCCATTCTCGGTACCACAACTCAGAGTCTGTGAGTCAACAACAAATAAGCAAGCCTCTTGCTGTTGATGTGGCTCTAGAGGTACCATGGATGGGGCTGGGCTATGGGCTCTTTATCTGCTTTCTGCTCTGGGGGGTGAGGGACTGTACTGTTTTCACTCCCTCTGGCCCTTTCAGAAAGACACTGACAGCCCTGTGCCCTGATGTCCAGTTTTCTGCTCTTTAGATAACCACTTACACCTAGCAGAAAATCTATCAAGGAGATTGCTCTTAATACTATCATCTCTGACCTCACAAATTTATTACAAATCACAGACCCCCTACCCAGCTATTCCTTGTTTAATCCCCACAGTCACTTCTCACAATAGGATGGGAGAGGGGGTGATGAAAGCTAGGCAGAGTCAGTTCTAGTCTCAGGGCTTCTTAATTCTATTCCAGTGTTCTTTTTGCCAAACATGGCTTCTGGGGCAAAGGGAAGATGCATTCCACAGCTTTATGCTGGCATTTTTCATGAGACCAAAAGGACAGGATGCTGAGGCTGGGATGATGGCAGTGGGCTTTCAAACCTGACATCTCTCATCTCAAGTCTATAATTGCCCCCCATTTCAGGCAAGGGAACTCCTTCCTCCCTCCCTCCCTCCCTCCCTTCTTTCCTTCTTCCCTCTCTCCCTCTCTCCCTCCCTCCCTTCCTTCCTTCCTTTGATCTTGTTCTTTACAAATTAAAGTCTAACTTGCTTAAAAGTTACTAAAACGTCATTTTTGTTCTAGGATAGTTCTGATTGTCCTGCTCACCTCATTGCACTTTTTCTCCTTCCTCAGTGCCTCCTTTAAGTCCCTTTCTGGGGTAAAGCAAATCATTTTTTTTGTGAATAACGCTCACGTTCTGTACCTGTTTACCAACCACCGCCCTACTCTCTGCCAGAATGTCTGTGTGCTTTTGGAACATGTGACAACAGGATTGACAGCGATGGTTCCTGCCTTACCGGCACTTGCAGAGACGGCTCCGCTGGGAAGTTCTGCAACAAGCAGACCTCCTCCTGTGGGCCCTATGTGCAGTTCTGTCACATCCATGCCACCTGTGTCTACAGCAATGGGACAGCCAGGTAAGGCACCACTCTTAACAGCCCACAGCCATTACACTCCCTGGACATGGACCCCAAACTCTTGATACATCTGACCTGTTCTTACCAGAATCTGATGGTTTGACTCTGTAGAAAAGAACTCAAGCCGGGTTCAAATTACAGCAAACTTTGCTTGTGTTGAAACTTATCAGCTGTGTGATCTTGGACAAGTTGTTCTCTGAGTCTTATCTTTTATCATCAGCACGATGTGTTGTCCCTCAGGGCCATTGTGGAGATTAGAAAAGCTGAACACAAGAGTACCCGGCCCCAGAGACAGTGTTCATTCACCTTGTTGCTGCTGTTATGGGCCTTTGAGTCAGAACTGCCTCAGAGTTGACCCTCCAGTGAGTTTTGAGAGGTTGTAAATTACACAGGAGGAGATGGCCTGTCTTTCTCTCTCAAAGCAGCTGGTGGATTCGAACCAGCTGGTGGATACTTTTGTGTTGGCAGTGCAGCTCCTTACCCACTAGGCTATCAGAGCTCCTACCATCACTCATGTGAAGGAAATGAAGATTTGTTGACCAATTTTCCAATGACTGGCACCATTTACCATTGAGTCCATTCCAACTATGATGATCCCATATCTAAGACTGGGTTCCACAGGGTTTTTGATAGCTGGCTGTAATCTTATGAAATTAAGTCACTAGACTTTTATTCTGTATTATCTGTGGGTGGATTTGAACTGCCAATCTTTCAGGTAGAAGCCAAGCATAAATTATTTTCCCATCCAGGAACCTTTTCAGTAACAGTTCTTCTGTTACAGGTGCCCAACAGAATTGTGTACCTAATATCATTTGTTTTCTTAACACTTTCAACCACAACACCTTCTTAATTCATAGTCATATATTTCTTTATGATCTCAATCCCTTAAAAGACTGTAGATTGGGTTGTATGACGTCAGAAACTCCTTTTATCCCTCCAAAATGGTACAAAGGAAACACACTTTCCAAAGCAATTACCACCCATGTCAGTGCATAAAGCGAAAATCACACATACTCAAAATTACCCCTCTTGTGTGCTGTGAGTCTGAACTGACCAGTACCTGACCCTCCAGCATGTCTTCAGAGGTAGTTAATCTCACAGAAGATTATCCATCCTTGGTGCACAGAGAAACTGATGGCCTTATAACCTAAAAACTGCTAACTCTCTCATAATGGACTCCAGTTGGCAGTTTGTATAAACTTCACTGCCTCAGTTAGATAAGCCAGTGATTGGCTAGATCACCTTGTTTTATCATTTGGACACCTGCCTGAGTTTTCCGTTCCTGTGGAAGTCTTAAATACAAACTAATTGTTTCCATTTTTGCAAAGCGCATCTAACTAAACTTGGAGTAGTGACTGAGGAGCTCTGGTAGCTTGGTGGTAAGGAGTTGTGCTGCCACCCCAAAGTCACGGGGTTTGAATCCACCAACTGCTTAGCAGAAGAAAGAGGCGATTTCCTCTTCCATTTTCTGCATCTGAAAACCTGCTGGAGGGTTTTCACTAATCACTTCCAACTCAGTGGTACACAACCTCATCACAACCATCACACACCGAATCACAGGGCACCCGATGAGCATCTGCTAGTTAAACAAGTGGATGACCCTGCATTTGGCCAACATTCGTATCGCAGTGAGAGCTGATGGTCTAGTGGTAAGGAGCTGCAAAGAAAATCCAAAGACAGGTGGTTCGAATCCACCAATTACTCAAGGGACGGGCAATCTCCTCCAGTGCAATTTACTGCCTTGGAAAACCTGCACACAATATATATCACAGAGGCTAACAGGTAAGGAAACCTTTGTGATAGCTTCTGGAATGAAGTCGCTGTGAGGGTTAATGTCATATCCAAAACAGAAAGCTCTGAAAGCCCAAGGAAATGGAAGCATGAGTTCTTACCTGGCTCCCACGTTCATAAAATTTCCCAGGAAAGGTGGGCCAGCTGCTGGCTGTGCTGAGCCAGAGACGGTAACTAATTGGGGTCAGGAGGGGATACACAGCGACAGTTCCAGTCCAGGGACAGCAGGGAGAGCTGTCATGGGTTCAGTCTCGGGCTGAGTCACTAGCACTGCTAAGTGCTCCTTATGTGATAGCTCATGTCATCTTTCCCCTCCGTCTTAGGAGCAAGCCAGTGTCATTAGGCCCTTTTCCCTGATGAGAAACTCATCACTGAGAGGTTATGGGACTCGAATCCCAGCATTGCTGAGCAGGGGTCCTGGATCCCCCTCCCCAAGCATCTGACAACAGACCCCGGGCCATGAGCGGGTTCATCCTGCATGGCTGAGTGAGCAGCTGGGGCTTCTCCTTCTCTGCTTGATTCTGTGCCCTCTTCTCAGCTGCGTTTGCAAGGAAGGCTACGAAGGCGACGGAATCCTGTGTTCGGAGATGGACCCCTGCGCGGGATTAACGACTGGAGGCTGCAGCCACAATGTGAGTCTTGGTCTGGATTGCCCTAGTGCTCGGTTTTTATACAGAGTGAAGGCGTTCCAAAGTGCGCATGCGCACTCAGAGGCATGAAGGGCTGGCGAGGGCGCCTGGCTGAGTTGTTGTTGTTGTTGTTGTTGTTGTTGTTATGTGCCGTCGAGTCGTTTGCAACTCATAGCGACCCTATGTACAACAGCCCTAAACCCTGCTCTATCCTGTGCCAATCGTATGGCCTGACACACCCATCCCGATTACCCCAGTCACTGAATCAATCCACCTCATAGAGGGTCTTCCCCTCCTGCGCTGTCCCTCTACTCTACCCAGCATGATGTCCCTCTCCAAAGACCTGTCTCTCCTTGCAACATATCCAAAGTATGTCAGACGAAGCCCCAGAATCCTTGCCTCCAAGGAGTAGCCTGGTTTAACCCTCTCTAGGATGAATCTGTTTGTTTTCTTGGCAGTCCATGGTACATTCAATACTCTTCTCCAGCACCACAGCTCAAAGGCGTCAATTCTCCTTCTGTCCTCCCTAGACATTGTCCAGCTCTCTGATGCATAACAAGTGATTGCAAAAACCATGGCCTGTATCAGGCGCACCTTTGTCTGCCTGGCTGAGAGCAGCTCTGAAAGATGGCGGCCGGGCGCCTTTCAGAGGCGGCTTCTCAGCAGAACCTGCAAGGGGTGCCCCGGCTCTGGGGACTTCACACAGCCTCACCCTCCGCTCAGGAGAGGGGCGCTCAGCACGCTGGATCAAACTGTATAGCTTACAAAGGATGGATGTTACCTGGTCTGGTCTCGTTTATTCGCCCATCCACCAAATGAAGCAGAAGTCTGCATTTTACTAAATATGAAACTGGCTTGTCCCAGATCTAATAAAGGTGCAGCCAGAACTCACCAACACCATTTTTTTTCCAATGCCAAAACTGCCTGTCTTGTCCCATGTCCTCAGTCACTGCTCCGCTTGAGCTCACTGTTGCAGCCACTTTGAGATGCCATCTTTTTGAGGGTCTTCCTCTTTTTTCATTTTATCCAGCCCTTCACTCCCCCAACCCCATAGCTGCTGTGGATTTTGACTCATGTCAACACTCCATTGGGTTTCCAAGACTGTAAATCTAAACAGGAGCAGACCTCTCTTTCTCTCGAAGAGCAATTGGCAGGTTCAAAATGACAAGTTTTCTGTTAAGTCTGGGCAAAGGGGGCCAAACAGAAGAGTGAAGAATTCAGAACTCCAATGCTGATGGCCTTACCTGCTGCTGATAAGAAGAGCAAACAGACTTGCTTGTCTGGCTGAGCTAGCAGGTGGCTCTTAAATCAGAGTGGAATGTCCCTCCCTAAAGACTCTGTTTATAAAAATCCTCACCAGTAAGTTCACAGTGTGACTTCCCATTCTGCCTCTCCAGGATGAGAAACTCACCCAGGAACTCTCCTTCCCCACCCCCTTTAATAAAGCCGCATTAAGCTTTCTCTCGTTCTCTCTGATTTCTTAAGTCTGCTAACCTAACATTTTCATTTAGTAGCTCTCATTACCTCCCAGCCCTGTTGCTTTGCGGGTTGCATTGTTGTGGTTGCCGCTGCTGTCTACCACCACCTGGTTAAAGGTTTCCCTCTCTCTTCACTATTCCTCCACCTTCCCACGCATAAAGCTGTTGTTGTTAAGCTTCATCAAATCAGCCCCAATTCATAGTAGATCCTCTGCATAGCAAAACAAGAGTCCTGCCCAATTCAAGCTTTCCTCACTGCTGTGTTCAAACCCATTGTTACAATCATTGATCAATCTTTCTAGCTAACCACTGGCCCTCCACTTTTCCAAGCCTAATTAATGTCTTCTCCCCAAAACTGACCCTTCCTGAAAACATGCCAAAAGGATGTGAAAGTCTTACCATCCTTGCTATAAAGAGCCCCCTGTCTCAGCTCCATCCATGGCATCCAAAGTGTACAGAGCAGACAGCATTCCATAGAATTCTCAAGACAGTAGCTGTTCAGAAACAACTCTCTAGGCATTCCTTCTGAGATAGCTCTAAGTGGACTTGAACATCCAGCCTTTTGGTTGATAGTCCATTACTTAACCATGTATGCCACCGTCATGTTTTACTTATGGTTTAATAGTCTCCCTGCTTCTGATCATTCCTATTCATAACACATGGTTCACACAACAGCCAGCATGCTGTAAGCGAATCAGAGCATTGTTCTGCCAATGCTTAAACCTCTTTGGTAGCTTCTGGTGACTACGAGGATGAAATCCAGGCTCAAATGCCTCTCTCAGCCTCCACCAGACCCCCTGCCCATCACAGACAGCCTTTTTCTCCATGATTTTTCTTACACCAGTCTTTCCCTCTCACACTGTCCTTCATCCTCCAAGTGTGGAGAGACTCCGAGAAGGAGGCATCAAGGTGGTATTGGAGTTGGAGAACTAGTTTCATGCCTCTTTGCAGCTGTGTGACCTTGGGAAAGTTACTTAACTCCTCTGAGTTTCCTTATCTATTAAATAGAGATCAACCTTTTGTCGTCCAGATTATTGAGTCGCTGGCTCATTAGGTAACATTAATATTAGTAATAGTGACCATTAACTGACCAACTAACTCTAAGCAGTTTTGCTCTTTAAAAATCCTCGAATCCTTTCCATGGTGCTCAATGCAGATACGGGTTTCTAGAATGCACGTTGGGCACTCCCTTTTCTTTCAGCATCAAGTAACTGAACTGAGGTTTTCCTTTCCTCTCACAGGCAGACTGTGTCAAAACTGGCCTCGGGACCCACACTTGTGTGTGCCAGCCGGGATGGACCGGGGATGGGAGAGACTGCTCAGAGATCAACAACTGCCAGCTGCCCAGTGCTGGAGGCTGTCACAGCAATGCAACCTGCTTGTATGTGGGCCCAGGGCAGGTACGTGTGTTCTGGCCCAGTGCAAGGAGGAAAGAGACATCCTGCTGTGGCTTCCCACGCTGCTTCCCAGTACCAGAGACACTTTGACTGGAACTTAATCAGTGTGTTTCTTCACTGACTAATACAATTGAAAAAATACAAACCATGTTTGGGCCAATAGCCAGAGGTTTGTCCAAGTTGGTGGTACAGGGAGGCATTAACCAATACCAAGTGCAAACGATTAGGCATCCTTAAGTCCATAGAAGATTGCACTGCTAACCCAAGGATAAGCATTGGAAGAAGGAGTATCATCCCTAAATAACAGGCCTCTGGAAACTCTATGAAGTTGGATAAATGTTGATAGTTGTAGAGCGGCTTCTGGCCTTTTGTTCATAGAGTCGCTGTGTGTGGTGCTCGATTTGAAGGCAATCAACAACAACCACCCAAGGATCCGTTCTCTTTGGTAGTTCTAATCCACCATGGAGAGTAGTACTGGCGGTCTAGTGGCAAGAAGTTGTGCTGCAATCCTGATAGCACATGGTTCGAATCCACCAGCTGCCCACTGGGAGAGGGATCGCCAATCTCCTGCTGTGCAATTAACTGCTTCTGGAAACCCACCAGAGGGTCAGTTATGGGTCAGTTCTGACTTGATGGTACACAACACCACCAACAACAATCCACCACAGAACAGAGATGAGTAGTGTGCTCCTGTGTAATCTACAGCCTCAGAAACCCAGTGGAGGGTCAGCTCTGTGGCGGTTGTGACTTGACAGCAATGAGTTAAGCAGAGCTCTACCACCTGTGGACCATGTGATCATAGAGCCAGATCTGAGCCATCAGGCACATGACCTCAGTTTCTCAGTGATAAGTATCAGGGCTAAAAGGAGCATTGAAGATGCTAATGGATATGAAACTTGAAACTCAAAGTGATTGCCATCAAGCAGGGACTGACTCGTAGCTGAAATGCGAGTGGGTTTTGGGAGGTGGTAAATTGCACGTGAGGAGATTGTGTGCGAATCGATCCCCCACAGAGCCATTGGCGGATTCGAACCACCACCAAGGCATGGCCTTTGAGTTATCAGAGCAACGTTCTACAAACTATGCCACCAGAGCTCCTTAATGGACAGGAAGGTACATTATATTCTGTAAAAATATTTTTACATAATAAAATCACTGCAAAGCTATCAGCCATCTGTTTTAAGAAAACATTCTAGTTGTTCACAAATGAGACATTCTGTTCTTCCCCAAAGTAACAAAGACCTCAGAGCTCTGCTTCTCCACTCCCCTCAGCTCCAAGGTCATGTTCAACTTTTGGGAGGAGCCAAAGTCCAAGTCGCTGTATAAACCCAGTATTTTAAACCCACATACACTTGAACAAAAGAAGATGCTTCTCCTTCTGTCTCCCTATCCATCCATCTAGTCAACAAACACACAAGATGCTGAATGTACAAAAATGGCACACAATCCTTTGCCTTCAAGAATTGCCCTTGAGTCACCTCTGACCCCATGACAACCCAATGTACAGCAGAAGCAAACATTGCCAGTCCTGCACTGTCCTTATCATTGATGCTACGTTCAAGTTCATTGTTGTGGCCACTGTGTAGTTTGAAAGACTATCAACATAGAGGACTTCTTTCCCAGTACTATAACAGACTGAAGTGATTCCTAAGGTTTTCATAGGCTGGTTTCTGAAAGTAGAATACCATCCCTTTCTTCCTAGTTCTGTTCTGGAAGCTCCCCTGAAAACTTTCTTCCATGAGTGACCCTCCTGGGATTTTTAAATTCCCATGATGTAACTTACAACATGATGATCAACATACAAACCACTGTGAAATATACATATAGTGTGATATGTTTATTGATAGGTAGTGACTTATAAAGATAAAAATACATAAATAGAAGGTTTATTCATTTCTTCTCACAGTCTAACAGATTTCTTGTCTCACCTGATGGATTGCACGTGCCCACTCTAGAAACCCATTCCTAAATAATCCTTTTCCATTCTAATCCCTATTTGTTTACCATCTTCATTCATTTCTCCTGATGCTTGACCTTAACATGAATGGATTCCCCGGTGCTCCCACCATTTCAGGGTACTGCCAACGTCTCCATTCCAGATGACCATTCCAATTGATCCTCTCCTCTCAGCGACAGGTAGCTCTGGTGGCCTAGTGGTAATAAGCTGCGCTGCAATACCAAGGGCAGAGGGTTCAAATCCACCAGCTGGATAGGCATCCTCCTTCCATGCAATTTATAGCCTCTGAAAACCTGGGAGGGGGTCGGCTAGAAGTCGGTTCTGACTCGATAACTCTCAACAACAATATGACTTATCTGTGTTTCAGGGTTTAAGATTCAACTCTTAAAAAAAAAAAAAGATTCAACTCTTAATTTTGGTTCAACTCTCACATTTGTTTTTTCAGACCTGCTGTTCTCCTCTTGTATTTTGCCTTTGTTGTTGGGTGCTATTGAGTTGTTGCACTAATTGCACTCATGGCAACCTCATGTGACAGAGTAAAGCCTGTTTCAGTGCTTCCTAGACTGTAATCTTTACAGAGCCTCTCAGTCTCGCCAATGCTTACCTACTTCTTGGCCAGGGCTCCATTCTTCTTATTTATTTTTTATGTGTTTTGGTTCTTTCCTTCTAAAACTCTAAATTGCAAAGCCTTAGAGGTTTATTGTTGTTGTTACATGACTTCAGGTCAACTCATAGCAATCTTATCTGAAAAGATGGGGTAACAGTGGGCATAGATCAATGGTGAAAAATTTTATCAGACACAATGTATGGGAATGAATGGAAAAAAACACAATGTGAATTGGGGCATGTGGGTATAATAACATTTAAAAAAAAAGAGAGAACACTGTTCTTGTGAAGGTCTGGTTACCATATGTACATCGTTCAGCACCTATGAGAACCAGGCCTAGAAGACAGTTTTCAAAGATCCCCTGATATTTATTCTCTTCTTGGAAATACAGAATGAGTGTGAGTGCAAGAAAGGATTCCAAGGCAATGGGATTGACTGTGAACCAGTAACTTCCTGCTTAGAACAAACTGGGAAATGTCATCCTCTGGTGAGATCTTCATTTTCTACCTGTCCCCTGCCTTTCTTGCTTAGGAAAAAAAAAGGGAGGGGAGGGTGTTTGAGAAATAAAGAAAATTGGGTTATTTCTTTTCTGGGCCTACAAATGAGCAAAATCTTTCTTATAGCCTACAGGGTATGCCCAAGTAGAATGTGTTTATTATAACTTTCACTCCGTTCCAAAGCATAGAAAAACCAATTAATGATTTCAAGATTAAAATAAAAATGTCCAATTAAATTTCATTTCAGAACAATGAATAGTTTTTCTGCACCAAAAACCTTATTACCATGGAATAAGTTTTGTCTCGGGGCAACCCTAGACTGTCCAAGGCTGTAAACCTTTACAAGAGGAGCAGCCGGTAGATTTGAACTGCTGACCTTTCGGGGGTTTTGTGGCATCACAGCTCCTTCTGTATAATATCTTCTATGTGTCTTAAAGGTCTCAAGGATGTCCTCAATATTGCATGCACATACATATATTAAAAATTATTGTTGTTGTGTTTACGTGCTATTGAATGAACTATGACCAACGGTGACCCTATCAACTACAGGTTGAAATCTTGCCCTATCCTACACTATCCCCTCAATCTCTGACATGCTTAAGCCCATTGTTACAGAGAGCATTGGTGACATGGCCCGTCGAGGGTTACATTGCCCACCCAAAGGCCAAGCCTTTCTGCAGGTTCACCAGCCCCCTGAAGACGAAAGATGTACACTCTCCTCCCATGTGATTTACAGCCTTGAACACTCACTAGTGGTCAGCTAGGAATCAGTTCTGACTCTACAGCAATGACTATTAAAAATTACTCATGTATCTGAAACACCAACTTAACCAAATATATTTTCATTTGCAAAATCTCGCACAGAGTGGGGATATCTAATTGTGGTCAGTTAAGGACATACTTAATGTACAGACAGAATCATTGCATTGCAAAGCTGAAGGGCCTGTAGATTTCTTCCATGGCTTTTCCACTCCAGACGTGTAATTCTCACCTTTGATAGAGTCTGTTATGTCCCGGGTGTGATACAGCTCATGTGACATGATAGAGTCCCAGATGTGATAGAGTCTTTAGTGAGCAAAGAAACCATTTCTTCTGTCTTCATTATCAGGCATCTTGTCAGTTTACATCCTCTGGCATCTGGAGCTGTGTTTGTCAGGAGGGATATGAAGGAGATGGCCTTCTGTGCTATGGAAATGCAGCCATGGTAAGTCATCTACGACAAACTCAAGAACAGAGTAGAAAAGATAACACCAGTCGAAAAGGATGCCTAACGTCTTAGTCATATTGTAATCAAAATTCCACAAGTAGGTGACTTTAAAGAATAGAAGTTTATTTCTAGCAGTTCAAGAGGCTTGAGGGCAGAAGCATTCATTGGCACCAAGGCAAATCAATCTTTATGTGGAATATAACTTCCCTTTCTTGCCCTATTTGAGTTTCTATCTATATCTAATATGCTTTTTTTCTATCATGCTATTGTTGTTGTTAGGTGCCACCAAGCCCCCTCCAACACATGGTGACCCTCTATGTAACAGAACCAAACCCTGCTTTGCCCTGCCCCCCACCTCACAATCTCCACTGTTCATGGACTGGACCCTTCTGACAAAGTGCCCAGAGTAAATGAGCCTGAATCTCATCACATCCTAATATCGAAGGCACACTCTGGCTGTACTTCTTTTACAACATATTCATATGTTCTTTTTTGATTATTTATTATTCACTGTATGCCCATGGTGCATTTAATAATCCTCACCAGAACTATAATTTAAGTGCTTGTTTTCAGGAAGTGTGCTATGCTTATATAGTCCCATTAACTTAATGAAGACACTCTTATTCACTAATTGAATTGCAATTCCAAGTCTTGGCATTGATATTCCAACACACATATTTTGGGAGTGGAAGAAGACACAATTCAATCCATTACATTTCACAAAGGTGGCTTTAAAGTTCTCCACGAATCATTTGCTCATGGATATTCTATATGAAGCTTCTAAAAGATGGCATGTATGTTCTAGGCTCACAAACACTCTGCAGGCTGGAGGAATTGGGCTAGCTCTTATTAATCACTGCTATGTCATTTAGTCTTGCCTCTCTTCCTCTTTCCAGTCTTCATGTTTCCACATGTATGGCTGACTGAAGGGAGTTCTGGGGGCAGAGCCCACAGGGAGTTGCCCTGCTAGCCCAAATGCTATAGTTTTCTGGTGGTTCGAATCCAGCAGCAGCTCTGAGAAAGATGGGCAATTTCACTCATGCAATTTGCAGAATCTCCTCAGAAACCCAGTAGAGAATCAACTATGGTTCACTTGTGTCTCAATGGCAATCAGTATAGTTAACTGACCTCTGTGTCAATTCATCTTGTTGGCAACGACCTTCTTCTCCAATCAGGAGATCCTAATCTCTTCAGAAGATCATATTTGGGTTATGTGCCTCCTATAGACACTGTAAGCATCCTATTCTTAAACCTCTGCCTGATGGTGTAAGTGGTTGTAGTGATGGGGGCTGGTGTGTGTGTGTGTGTGTGTGTGTGTGTGTGTAACAGTGAGACAGAGAGCTTTCTATGAACCAAGCATATTACAAAACCCTTACATTGATAAATACTCCATTTAACTTCCATGTAAATGCTATTATTATGCCCATTTTATGGACGAAAAATTGAAGGGTTAACCAGGCCTGGTTAAGGTTGCTCAGCTTCTGAGTGAGAAATCCAACTTGTAGCTACATAGGCACCAAGCCAGGGCACTAAACCCCCAGGGGATTCTGTCAGCTCAGCTCATGCCATACACACCATTTACTTATATGTATATCTGTTCCCTCTACCACAGGACTAGAAAGGCCTTCAAGGCAGATCTTTTCCTTGTTTTCAATTTAACCCCCAGTGTCTAACAGTGTTTGGAAATACTTGGGAAATTGAAGACTGAAATACAGTGAGCTCTCATTATTTGCAGTGGTTGCCTTCAGTGAAGTCATCACGAACACTGACCTAGTAATTCTTGAGTGAGGGCACCAGGGGAAATCCAGGGTCAGGTTTCCGCAGCTTCTGGTCACAACATACTCATCAAATGATCACTAATTAATCTTGCTTTATAAGTATTCCTGTTTGTTGTCGTGTGCCGTCGAGTGGGAATTGACCCATAGCTGGACCTCGAGTGGATTTTCAGAAGCAGTAAAATTGCAGAGGAGGAACAACTGGTGGATTCAAACTGCATACCTTTGGGATAGCGGTGCAGCTTCTTACCATAAGACCATTAGAGCTCCTATAAAACATCTACTTTAATATGTATCGTTAATGCATTAACAAACAGTTAATTATTTTTCAAAAACAGTCGTTGTTTTTCATTGTTTTTGTTCAAACAGTCTTCTAGGTCGTATAGCCCTGGTGGGGCCACTTGCTGTACAGAGGTAACTTGTGGTCTCTGTGAAGCTGAACACTGTGACACTGATGTGTCAAATGCGATAATGGTCACCCATGGTGGGCAGTGTTTGGTGGGGCTCCCTGGTTGAAATAAGCTCGGAAGCAGGAGTGGCATCCACTTCCATAAATAGCTTGCCTCTGGAAACCCTACGAGCCTGGAGAAAGGATGAAAGTCATGCACGCAAGTGTCGAGCGAGGACTTTGGTTTATAGGGTCGCTGTGAGTCGCCTACGACTCAACAGCACTTATTGACAACATCGATGCATTAACATTGAACAGATAGTCAACAGCACTATAAGGCATGCCCTTAGTAAAACTTGTCTAACACAGGTATTTTCTCCCTATGACATATCGTAGCTGTCTTGTTAAGAATCCAGACAGCACTTTGGCACTATGCAAAGAGCATGTGAAGCAATTAAATTACCAAGAAAAGGCACAAAAGCACAAAAAGATGTGGCGTGAAATAGACCGCAGGCTGGAAGGCCGTGTTCAGAGAAGCTCAACTTTGAGTTGGGAGAACTTTAGGTTGGTGCGCCCCCTGGAGTATCCAGTATTACTTTCTTACCTGAAAGGGGGAGGATGATAGAGCCCCGTGAACTTGAAGGAAATGCACGGTTCTGACAGCATGGGGATCATCGAGCTGGACTTCCTTCCTGGGCATCGGGAAGCTGGCAGGGAAGGGACCCAGTTCCAGGAAGGTCAAGAGCAGGTTGCTCAGGAATGCACTGGGTTGTGTCTCTCATGGTTCCCTCTCCTGTGTTCTTTCTCGTCTCTCCTTCCCTTCCCTGCACGATGTGAATAAGGAATTGTCAATGCTCCCCGAAGCAGCTCTGTTTAATCAATGGATAACTGTGAGTACATTCACAAGAATTCATTCCTTGGGGATGTATACAATAGAAATTTAAAACATATGTAATATAAAACTGAAAATACAGTTAGTAAGAAGGATAGAGACTGTTTACACAGTGACTTTCAACCCTGACTGTGAAAACAGTCATGCCCAGGCCCCAACCTCTACAGTCTCATTTTATTCGTCAGAGGTTTGGCATAGGCTTCAGGATTTTTTAATAGCTCTCCAGGTGAAACCCTTGAGACTATGACCTTGAAACACCTTTTGAACCAGGAACAGACTTATCATTATGGCTCAACATACAGTCAGATAATAGACAGGCTGACATAATGAGCAATAACACTGGGAAGTCATTGACTCCTTAGAATAACCAACTACATCCGGTCAAAAGGGCAGCACTGGCCCAAGAAAAATAGCCTGAAGGTAGCAAGGAGTAGAATCAAAAGATTAATGGAAATGAGAATTACAGGGAGGAAGTGGGAAGAGGAATTATGCTGTGGGTATTATAGTTAATGCTGTAGAACAAAATGTGTATAAATGACTGGATTGGAAAAAAAAAAACAATCTGCTTTGTGAACTTCTACTTTCACTCAAATCACAATGAAGCCTAAAAATAAATAACTTAAAATTCAAGAACAAAAATAAATGCAGAATGCTTCCCAGGCTATTCTAATAGGTAACTACAGGCAAAAATTTCTATCTAGGGTAAGCAAGGGTGGTCAGCATTTCAACTGATTCAAATATATGCACTCAGTTCCATTACTTACGATAGTATTTTTTTATAATTTTTATTTATTTATTTATTCTTTTTATGCGTGTACCGTCAAATTGGATCTGACTGGTACAGGAGGCGATTTTTCCTCCTTCTTCAGCAGAGAATCTGGTGGATTTGAACCGCGCACCTCTGGGATTGCAGTGCTATTTTTTTTTTAAAGCAGCTCCCTCAAACATTAACATTAAAGCAATAAAAATTAACATTAAAAAGTTAATGTAATTCATTGTTGCAATTCGCTGAATGAATGTTAAGGTTTGTATTTACAGTCCAGGGTACTTGGTGTGTGTCTTAGTTGTTAGCCTAGCATGCCCTAGAAAATGTAAAATTCACCCGTAGAAAGAATTATAACAAATTATCCTATTGTACCCCTGCCCTGTGTTCTAAATCTCTGACCTCCATGGTCAAATAACCCAAGATGGTTCAGCAAATCATTGAAAACAAATGATTCATCATTTTAAATGGGCTGAGATGAGATAGGTCATCGTTCTGAAACATCTCCCAGCTGCTTCTGTATGGGGACTCTCTGACTCCATGGCAGGCAGGGGACAGGACTGAGACGTTTCCTGACCATCTTGACCATGCTCATCTCATAATGTCAGCTTGCTTAGTGGTTTATTGGAGCTGGCTGGGGCTAGCCCGAGAGAACTGCTATATTCATCTTATCCCAACTCCACGTTCAGTGCCGCCATATCAGTAACTTGGAATCAGCTGTGGTGGGAGTGTTTGCATATTGGCAAGATTCCCATGTTTAAATAAAATTAATTCATATTAACGGGAATAGATTTCAGGCAGTGAGTGGGGCAGGGAGTGTATCTCTAGGATCTTCTCAGTATGCCTGAAATTATATTACCTGGGAAATTGTGATCTCTGCCAGTGTTAAGCCAGGCTCTTTGTCTCTGAAATGAATCATGCCACTCTTCCTTCTGTGACCAGGATGCATCCCTACAACCCACACTGTCAGCTGCCTCAAACCTTACCGTCCTTGTGCCTTCAAAACAAGCTATTGAAGACATGGACCAAGATGACAAAGCCTTCTGGTTATCAAAGAACAATATCCCAGCTCTAATAAAGTGGGTATCATGTGTTTTCTTCTTCACAGTCTCTTACTGGCATCAGTATGAACACACCTTAGAAGTTTTATTTAGTGACCAAATAAAAAGCCCCTCTACTGTTAAGTTTATTTTCCTCGTAGCAACCCCATGGGGTGGAGTGGAAACTATCCCACAGCTCTGGTGTACTAGTGTCAAGAAACTGCGCTGCAATCCTGAAGGCACTCAGTTCGAGTTCACCATGGGAGAAGGATGGGCAATCTCCTCTCACACGATTAACTGCCTCTAAAAACCTGCCAGAGGCTCAGCTATGACAGTATACAACATATATCTTTATAAAAGTTGGCTGCCATATCTTTCTCCCAAGGAGCAGGTGATGGATTCAAACTGCTGACCTTTTGGTTAGCAGCCAAGCACTTAACCACTACACCATTAGCGCTCCTTAGAGAAGATACCTAACCCTTCAAGTTCAATATGTTGTTGTTCTTGTTGTTGTTGTTGATTGCCTTCAAGTCGAGCACAACTCATAGTGACACTATGCACAAAAGGCCTGAAGCCCCTCTACAACTATCAACATTTATCAAAGTTCATAGAGTTTCCTGAGGCATGTTATTTATAAATGAGCATATTCTACAACTTCCTTCTTCCCCAGGAGAGGAATTACTAACAATTACTGACAGCTGTCTCTGGGGTAAGCACTGTCCTAAGTGCTGTACACATAACTCATTAATGCACACCACAACCCTTGGTATTATAATAATTCCCATTTTACAAATATGAAAAGGAAGATACAAGGTAGAAAAGGAACTACTGAAGGGTGCCAGGGACAGAATCTTAACCTGGTGGTCTCACTCCAGAGCCTTTGCTCTGTGGAGCCCTGGTGGTGTGGTCTGTGGGGTGTTGCACAGCTAACCAAAGGTGGCACCTCTCTGGCCATCGAATTCACCAGTGACAATCTCCTCCCATTTAATTTATGGCCCCCAAAAGCCCACTGGAAGGTCAGCTCTGAGTTGGTTCTGATTTGACAGCAATGAGATGGGTATTTGTTCTTTCACTGTTATTTAATGGTAGCCCTTATGGTCTGTTGTTTTAGATATCATACGCTCCTGGGCACATACGGAGTGGCAGAGCTGCAGACACTGTCGTCATCTGACATGCTGGCAACGTCTTTACGGGGCAACTTTCTTCACCTGGCAAAAGAGAACGGGGTAAGAGAGCTCTGTAATTAGTCCAGTTAGTTGAAATATGTGATATATGTGTCATATTGTGCTTCTAAAATCTTTGTTTAGAATTTTTCAAACATGAGCAAAAATGGAATGGGAGGTTTTTTGGGGGGGTTAACAGTTTTATAACTTTATTTGATAATCAGTTATTTGTTTTTATCCACATTGATGGTCTGTAGATTTTTGACAGTGCTGACAGGTGCATAGGTAACCAGTGTATACAGCTTGTTTGGGGAATCTTCATCCTCATTATATTTTCTGGACAACTGTACATGGATGTGGTATGGGACATTCCTAGTCCTTTGCTCCAGACAGCTTTGTTAAGCCTGGTGTCAATGTGAACATCTGGCGTTCCCATTTCCATCATGGCAAATTTCCGGATCTCCTTGAGTGCCCGAGGGGCACTGCTTCTTAAATCCCACTCCATGGACGCGCTTGTGAATGTTGATGGTGTCCTCTCTGGTTACCACTTCGTTGATGGCAGAACAGCCTTTCTTCTTCTCACCACCCTTCTCTATGGGGACCATCTAAAACCAGATGACAAGGAGACTCAGAGCAGAGCGGGCCAGGTCCAGCTCTTCCTTTCACACCAGGCCTCATGCTGCTGCCCTCAGGACATTTTATGCAGGGGCTCTGGCCAGACCCCGGCAGCCTGGTCTAGGCAAAGGATGCCAGGCCACTGGAATGTTTTCATTTTAAAAAATTTTTTATTCATTCATTGTTGCACATTTTCTTCCTTTCCTCTCCTTATCCCTTCTTTTAGTCCACTTTTACAATGCACCTCTTGTTCCAGATTATTGTTATATAACATCTAATTGTATATTCCTTTTGAACCATTCCTTCCTCATCTGCTCCAATGCAATATTTGTTATCTGTACACCCTTTTTTTAAATTCTCCCCCCCAGTCTCCCATATCAGTTCTATTTTATAACATTCGTATTATCTTTTTTCTGACTGAGATATTTCACTCAGCATCATGTCCTCTGGGTTGTGTAATGTTTTATGAGTTCGTTGTTTTTCAGTGCTGTGTAATATTCCATTGTGTGAATGTGCTATAGTTTTTCTATCTAGTCATTTGTTGATGGGCACTAGGCTTGCTTCTGTCTATTTGATATTATCAATAATGCAACAATAAACATGGATGTGCAGACATTGTTTGAATTGTGGCTTAGCCAGGATATTTTTAATGAAATAAACTAAAGTGGGAAAGAATCAAAATGAGGAGAGTACCGCCTACATGGTAAGATAAAGGACTGTTCAATTATAAGAGCTCTGGTGGTCTAGTGGTCAGAAGCTGTGCCACAATCCCCAAAGCACAGAGATCTAATCCACCAGCCGCTCCATGGGAGAAAGATGTGCAGTCTCCTCTCGTGTGTTTTACTGCCTCTGAAAACCTGCTGGAAGGTGAGCTATGAGTCAGTTTGAACAAGACAGCACAAAACAACTTATAAGGTAGGAGACAGGACTATTTCATTTTAGTTCTTGAAGGGAGAACATGTGAGAGTTTAAAGATATTTCTTACTGTGGCTCATGGTCCAAAAAGTGTGGAGGTTATTGCTTCTCCAAAGGTGGAAGAACCCAGAAATCATTTCCATCCCCAGGGGTACTGGACAGAGGCTCACTGTCTCAATCTTGCATTCACAGAATATCACAATTGAAGGTGCTTCCATCGTTGATGGTGACAATGCTGCCACTAACGGAGTGATACACGTCATCAGCAAGGTACCAGCATCCACCTCCCCACACGAGCAGCATCTCTTCTCTCTCTCTCCCTGTTCTCCCCTGCACGTTATCTTCTGCGGGAGACATAAAAAAGACTTAGCCTTTATTAGAAACTCAAATGTGCTGTGCTTTGTTCCTTTTCTTTTAGAACCACTTAGAGACTCTATTCATTATTAGACTAAGTTACCATTTGATCAGCCTCTACTTTACATGCACAGCCCTGACGGCACAGTGGTATACACTCAGCTGCTGACAGAAAGTATAATAGTCCAAACCCATTCACTGCTCCACAGAGAAAGATGTAGCTGTCTTCTCCCTTAAAAGTTACCATCTAGGAAACCCTATAGGACAGTTCTAGTCTGGTTTATGGGGTCACTATGAATCTGGCTTATAGGGTCACTATGAGGGAGAATTGGCAATGGGTTTTATACTCTACCAGCTTAAAAGACACAGAAGGACCTCAAAATGGGAAGGGCTGTAAGAAAGAACATCCAGGAATATGGTAAGAAAGGAAAAGCAAACCGCTGTCTGTTACCTCTGCATAACTGCACCCTCAAAGAACAGTAAGGAAGACCCTAGGGGAGTAAACAGAAAACTATAGAAAAGTGTATTACAAAATAAAAAAGGATATAAGATAAGATTACATTGCACTCAAAAGTGTGACGTAGGGAATGAAAGGATTCGGGAAAATGAGGTTTTAAACCACCCTATAATTTGCAGTTAGCTATATTAAGGTCTACATTTAAAATTTAAATCAGAATTATATTGGGAACTTTTAGAAGGTGAAAGATTGGAAAAACCAATTAACTAATTGCATTTTAATGAAAATTATTCTCACTTGGTACTTTCTAGCTACTCACCTCTTTTTATTTTAAGTTAAAGCAAAGGTCAACTATTTTAGTTCATAAAAGGGGTTATTCATCAGACTCAGTGCGTTAGTTTGTAAAGACCTTCTCATCATCCTCTATTATCAAGAGGCATTAAGAAAGACAATCTTTTGGGGCAAGTGATTCATCTATACTGACTTTATGACTTCACATAATGCAAATTAATATTCTTTGTTAAGAGTATTTTCTTCTATGCTGGTATCATGGGCAACTAACTAAAAGATTCTGGTTGTCTAGTGGGTAGAGAGTTGCACTCTCAACCTGGAGGTACTTGGTTTGAATCTATCAACTCTTCCTTGAGAGAAATGTGGACAATTTCTTTCCATCCATTTTTCAACCTCTGAAAACCCATTGGAGGTTCAACTGTTAGTCACTTGTGACTTGACAGCAATAAGTTGAATTGATTATGTTTTGTGACTTCATATAATGCAAAGCAATATTATTTTCTAAGGATATTTTTCTTCTCCAATCCTGACTTTCCAAAACACTGATACAGAAAAGAGACACTCCTCCCTTTCTGGGGCATGCCATCAAATTGAGAGTCAGGACTTAGCCCAAGGAAGAGGAAATGTCAATATAAGAGAGCATTGTTATAGCAACTGAATTCTCTAGGGAGAATATGTATCAAATAAAACAAACACATAAAATTACTTCTGTGTCTCACATTTTGTGATCAACACAACCTCATTTGCAGGAATAACACATCAAATCATCTTCTGTGTAGAATATTATTATTTTAGTAGCCAGTTCAAGTCTCATCTCCTCTCTGGACATTTCTCTGACACCCCTCTTCCCCCGCTGTTTGGATATCACTTATACAACATGTGAGAAAGTTAAAGACTCAGACAGAATCTGAACTCAGGTACTTTGCTAACTGTGTGTCTCTGAGCAAGCTGCATAATCTCTCTGGGTCTTATTTTCCTTCTCATGATTTCTCTTGGTTCCTGCAGCCTAGATGCCTCTCAGAAAGAGTTGGATTTGTTTTCCTTCTGCTTCCTCTGAAATCTCTTGGGATTTTTCCCTAGAGAATTCAGTTGCTATAACAATGCTATAACAATTTCCTCTTCCTTGGGCTAAGTCCTGACTCTCAATTTGATGGCATGCCCCAGAAAGGGAGGAGTGTCTCTTTTCTGTATCCCTCTTAAGCACTAGCACCTCACCTTGTTCACAGTAATAATCAGAATTATTGTGGGCTCCAATATCCTGGGCATGATACCAAGGGCTGGGTGTCACATTATCTCATATGATCTTTACAACCTTAGGAAAGTAGACGCTGTATCGTCTTAATTTCACAGATGAGACTAGCTAGGCTAAGTAATTGAATTGAGGGAGAAGTTACATGAACAAATAAAATGTATGGGTGCATACCCCCTGACTCAGATTCTTTTGCTTAATGTCTGGGTTACACTGGCTTCCTAAAGAGCTGCTTCCCTTACCATCTCCTGGGCATTATGGTCACCTTTTTTCAGAAAGGCAAGTTGTGCCCTACCTAGAGGTGCCTGGATTAACCAGATTGTTGTTGTTAAGTGCTATTGAGTCAAATACTACTCATAGCAACCCTAAGAACAAGAAGTCTGGACACTGTCCTATCCTGTTCCAGCCTCACAGTCTCTGGCACACGTAAGCCCACTGCTGCAGTCGCTGTGTCAGTCCACCTGGTTGAAGGTCTTCCTCTCTTTCGCCATCCCCCTGCTTTTCCAAGCATGATGTCCTTCTCCAAGGAATTTCCTCTCCTAGCAACCTGCTCAAAGTATGTGAGACAAAGCTTCACTGTCCTTGCAACCAGGGAGCACTCTGGCTACACCCTCTCCAAGACATATCTGTTTGTTCTCTTGGTTGTCCATGGTCTATTCAGCACTCTTCTCCAACACCAGCTCAAAGGAGTCAATTCTTCTTCTGTCATCCTTATTCATTGTCCAGCTCTCAGCAGCATGGCAAGTGATTGGAAAGAACACGGCCTGAATCAGGCACACCTTAGTCCTCAAAGTAACATAATTTTAAATGTAAGCATCATTACTGGATTAAATGTTATTTAAATATCATTCTTTTTAACATCATTAGCTGGATTAATGGAGCTAAAATTCATCTCACTTAACCCCCTGTGTGTGTGCTTCTGTTACTAGTCACAAACTCCTAAAAAAAGGATAGTTTTTTTATTAAAACAAAACAAAACAAAAAACCAAAACTGCATGGAGACACTCTATGCCCTGGAGGTGGCTCTCATATTATCAAGTGGATGATTTCCAACAGAGGTCCAGGGGCCTCTTCGAGTTAAGAACTAGAAAGTTCTGACTTGGAAATACAAGAAAGACACCAATACCAAGTGAGAGCAAGAGAAAGAAACTGAGGTTTATTAGACATTCATAACAGACTATGAGCGGGTCAGGACAGACTGACCCTGATTTTTCTCTTTCAGAAGGGTTTACATATCCTTTATTTGGGGAGTGGGGTTTAAACGGCTGATTAGTGCATTTCTTCTAATGGACATATGGTGACTTTTGGGAATCTTCTTTATCTTGTCCTTGAGTCTGTTGTTTTCCTACATTCCTCGAGAGTCAGTTTTTATTGTCATATAGTGCATTCCACATTCCTTGAGGGTCGGTTTCTAGTGTTATATTACCACAGTCTTTGTCAAGACCAGTTCTGATCGATCTCCTTTGTTAGCATGTCCTTTTCCATTTCCTGTCAATACTACATGTTGTTAGGTGACACGGATATGTGGGCTTTTATCAGCACCATCAAGTTCTGTCAGACCATCTTCTCGTAGCTTTAGAACTGGCATATTCCTTTCAATCATCTCAAGCTCTCCCTCCCAACTCCTGCTCCGGAAACCCAGCAATGTTTATGGCGCTCCTTCCTCTAATCAAGAGATTGGCAAACTTTTTCTGTAGAAGGCTGACCAGTAAACATTTTAGTCTTTGCAGGCCATGTGGTCTCTGTCACAACTACTCAGTTCTGCCATTGTGCCAGGAGAGGAGTCACAGACAACACATACCCAGTGGGTGGCTGTGTCCCAAGAAACTTTATTTTCAAATACAGGCAGCAAACTAAATTGAGTTGGTGGCATGAAGTTTGCTAGTCTTCATTCTCAGCCTCAATCATATTTGCATAGACTTAAATCAAAAGAGCAGTCATTTAAATTGACTTATTTGGAGAAAAATGCAGCAGCCTTCATCTAGAAACCACATGTGGCAATTCTATTCTGTCCAGTAGGGTCACTCTGAATCACAATCATTTGTCAGGGAACGTATTTGTGGCCCCCGACAATATAATGAAAGTTAGAATGGAATATTTCAGAAGAATTACAAAGTTGTGGTTTGAGTTTGGGTTTTTTCCTTTAAGATGAAACTTTCTCCAGAAGTTTTAAAAGCTAGAGATAAACTTGATCTAATAACATCCCAAAATTCCTTCCAGCCTTGTCACTCAACATCTAGGAATGTTATTAGTTTGTTATTTTTTTAAATAAAATATTAATTTTATACTTGAATGTACCATGGACTGCCAAGAAAACAAACAGATTCATCCTGGAGAGGGTTAAACCAAGCTACTCCTTAAAGGCAAGGATTCTGGGGCTTTGTCTGACATACTTTGGGCATGTTGCAAGGAGGGACCAGTCCTTGGAGAGGGACATCATGCTTGGGAGGGTGGAAGGATGGTGCAAGAGGAGAAGACCTTCTATGAGGTGGATTGATTCAGTGACTGGGGTAATAGGGATGGGTGTGTCAGAGGCAATGTGATTGGCACAGGATAGAGCAGGGTTTAGGGCTATTGTACATAGGGTCGCTATGAGTCGCAAGTGACTCAACGGCACATAACAGCAACAACAACATGTTTACCCCCCGTGCCCATCCTCACCCCTCTGCTCCTACCCTCCCCCACTTGGATTCTCATACATGATTTACTAGTTATCTTTCTATTTCTACAATAATGGTCTTATACAGTATTTGTCCTTATAGGACTCAGTTAATTTACTTAGCATAAAGTTTGCATATAATCTTGAAAACACTTTGACAAGGTGAAGGCTGAGTCAAAGTTCACTCCTTCAAATGCCTACAGGGACATTGCTGTGCACTGCTAAGCAGCAAGTCCAAAGAAATGTGTCCACAGAATTCTTGGACTTTCCTTGCCAGGTTCTGGTTCCACAAAGAAGTCTAACCAACTCCTTACCAAGCCTGCTCACCCGGCTGGACCAGATGCCCGACTACTCCATCTTCAGGGGCTACATCATTGCAAGTATCACGTTCTCTTCACGGCCGACCTGCTCACGTGAGCTGGGAACTGAAAGTCCTCACACTCGTCTCTCTCTTCCCATCACAGCATTATAAGCTGGCGAGCATCATTGAGGCTGCGGGTGCTTACACAGTGTTTGCTCCAAGCAATGACGCCATTGAGAGATATATGAAGGAGAAGAAAACTACAACACTGGTAAGTATTGGGAGTCATAACCATGGAAACTCTGTTCTGAAAACTCAGCACCCAACATGTTCAAGCCATCAGTTATATGCCATTTCTCCAACACATCCTCATGCATATCCAGATGCTTCATACACACTTCTATAGACACCCTAGCATGTACTGACTTTAGACCAGAGCTGCCCATATGTTTAATGCATGCCCCTGAGATCCTATACTTGGTTTCACATACACAAAAAAACTTGTGACTTTCTAATTGAGTGTTACTGTGATACTGGACATATTTCAGCATTCAGAATGAGTCTACAAAGAAAGGTCTGGTGATCCACAGCCTCTTCTCCATCCTTGCCTCTCCCTGGTTCCAGGCACCTGAGATGTCAGAAGCAGGAACCTAGAAGGAATAAACCATCGCTATACCCACTTCTACCTTCCTTCTCCATCTTCTCTGATTCCTAACATCTAGGAGTACTAGGCAAGGCTAGTTAAAGGATTTTCTAAACTAATAAAAAGCTAGTTAAAGGATTTTCTAAACTAATAAAAAGCCATTTGCTGCCTTGAACCTTCCAATTAAACTTGGTGAGTTCCAGAAATCAGGCTTTTTTTTTTTAACAACAAGGTATTTGCTGGCTTGGGCCTCAATCAAGCCACTCTCTGGTTCAAAACTCTTCCATGGAGCCCAGTTCTTATAGGGATAAGTCTGATCTACATTACTAGGAATTTCACACTGACATAAACTAGTTCTATAAACGTATAGCTATGGTACAGTGCCAACCTTCCCCAGAATGAGAGAATGTGGTGGGAGCTGTATTTGCATATCAAGCAAATTGTCATCACTTGTATCTTAATACATGTGCTGAGATGCATGAAGAGGGGGCATGAATGAGATGAATGCTGGTGATAAACGACATTCCCATTAAGCAACCTTTGGGCCCACCACTCTCAGGAGTTCTCTGCACAAGTCATGTGGTCTAACCAGGTGGTCACCTCATAAAACCTACATAAACCCAGAGACATTCTGTCTCAGTGCTTTTGCTCAAATATAAAATACTAGTTGCTGTCAAGTCAATACCGATCCATTGCAACTTGATGTGTGTTAATGTAGAACTTCCCTTCACAGAGTTTTCCCATGTTATGCTTCCATACACCGCCCTGGGCCATACTGAACTTGATGAACTGCATTCATCACAGTTTTGATCTCACTCTCACCAGGTTTGAGTGTTGACAGCTGAGGTGGGAGGAGGACAGGGAAGTTATTCTCTAACAGCTACTGTTATGATATGGCATTGAACTTCCTGAGTCTGGCAAGTGTTTAAAGCTTTATCTTTCTCTCATGAACACTATTATGTGTTCTTTGGAGAGCTCATGTACCATCCATGGTCTCTAACTTGCCATCCCCTAAACCTGTGTCAGCACTCTATTCCTAAAGTCAACTATTGCCTCCTCAGACCTATAGAATCCAGAAAACACAACCAACTTCTCCTCTAGAGAAGTCCATCTACCCTTCTAAGCAGCTGTGTTGGATAAGACCTACGGCACCAGCACTCTCAGTCACAGCCACACAGCTGCTCCTCAGACCTCCGTCCAATAACAAGTCTCCTCCCTCCATGGTTGATCAACTTGCCAACTATTTCTGGATTTTAAGATTTTCTCTGGAGTCAGACCTCAGTCCAATATGCTTCCCTATGTGCAGGAGACATAGCTTGAGTTCTTGAAAACAATCCATAAACCTCCTTTCATAACCTCTGAGATGAAAGGCAACTGAGTGTGAGGAATCTCTCTCTCTTCATCAGCAGTTTTCCAGCAGTAATTATTCTCCTTTTTAAATTCCCCTCCACACTGACATACCCTCCGCCTAGGTTTTAAAGTTACTCAACAAGTTTCTGACCTTCTTCCTTGGAAAATCTGCAAATTCTCCTGAGTTTCAAAAATCACTTCAGCATTTAATACTTATTGTGTCTTAATGCCTAAGTCAAAGTTTCAAGCCAAGTGTCTGACCCATTGGCAAAACTTGGAAAGTGAGTGGTGACTGACTGACTTTCAATTCTGTGTGTTGCCCAGAAGGAGGACATGCTTAAGTACCACATAGTGCTGGAGGAGAAGCTCTTGAAGAATGACCTGCACAATGGCATGCACCGGGAGACCATGCTGGGTTTCTCTTTTCTCCTGGGCTTCTTTCTCCACGGTGATCAGGTAAAATTCCACTGTTTAAACATCCTCCCAAAGAGCCTTGACCCCTATTACCCATTATCATGAGAAATAAGCTAAATCTAAATATGTCACTCTGCTTCATAGAAATATTCCCATTTATTGCATATGCAATAATGTTAAGAAAATCTTTTTAAATATATTTTTCCAGGAATAACAATTTGTTATTGATGATCTTGTTGTGAATCATCGAGTTGGAACTGATTCATAGCAAACCCTCTAGAAAATTTTTAGAGACTATAAATAGTACAAGAGAAGATTGCCCATCTTTCTCCCACAGAGCATCTGGTGAATTCAAACCATGTGTCTTTGTGTTGGCAGCACAGCTTCTTACCACTAAGCCACCAGAGATCCTGTGGCAATAGCAAGGTTGTTAACTAATAGCTTTCATTTTTTAAGTTGTTTATTTTATTCACATCTTTTATTTTGTCATAAACAAGTGTATACTTAGTTGCTTCATGTTTTGTTGGGTTTTTTGGGTGAAGTTTTTTTTTTAGTTGCTTCAGTTTTATTACTATCATGTCGACTTTCCATTTATTTGAAAAGAATTATTCTTATAACAAGCTTTCTTTCTACTGACATTTATTTTTCTATTAGGAAAACAGAAGTTAGGGAGAAATGTTCTTTCTAAATGAATGCACTGCGTTCAAATAAACATTTTAATATAACCCATATTTCTATCAATATCTGATGAAAACTAACTATTTTACATTTAATGTCAAATCAGCAATATTATAGCATCGAAAGTTCTGCTTTTACACTATCTAAAACTAGCTCATCATCTTGTAATTTTGGAAAATTTGTATTATAATCACCATTTGACACAATGAGTAAAGTATATATTTATTTTCCAAATCTACACCAATTGGCAGCATCATGATAGATGGTGAAGAGATTGAAATTATTAACAGCTTTAGTTTTCTTGGCTCCACGATCAACACTCTTGATACCAGCAGCAAGAAAATTAAAAGATTAATTGCATTGGGAAAGTCTGCTGTCAGAAACCTCTCCCAGCTACTGAAGAGGAGCAATGTCTCTCTGGAGATGAAGATGTGCCTGATACAAGCCATGGTCTTTGCAATTTCTTGCTATGCATCAGAAAGCTGGGAATGACTAGGGATGATCGAAGAATTGATGCCTTTGAGCTGTGGTGCTGGAGAAGAGTATTGAGTATACCATGGGCTGCTAGGAGAATAAACAAGTTCATCCTAAAGAGGGTTAAACCAGGCTGCAAGGATCCTTGGAGGCAAGGATTCTGGGGCTTTGTCTGACATACTTTGGACATGTTGCAAGGAGGGACCAGTCCTTGAAGAGGGACATCATGCTTGGGAGAGTGGAGGGACAAAGCAAGAGAGGCAGACCTTTGATGAGATGGATTGATTCAGTGACTGAGGTTATGGGGGTAGGTGTGTCAGAGATAATAAGATTGGCACAGGACAGAGCAGAGTTTAGGGCAGTTGTACATAGGGTTGTTATGAGTGGCAGGCAGCCCGATGGCACATAACAACAACGATCCTGAAACATCTCTATGAAACATAACCATAACTTAACCCAACATCTGAGTTTAAATTCATTAACATGACAAAGTTTACACTAAGCCACCAGAAGCCCTATCTCATAATATAAGTGATATTAATTAGTGAACTAATGAGTTATGTCAAGAAGACAAAGATTCTCACCACTGGACCAATTGGCAGCATCAGGATGGATGTTGATGAGATTGAGATTGTTCACAGCTTCAGTTTGCTCGGCTCCACGGTCAACACTCTTGGCACCAGCAGCCAGGAAATCAAAAAACGTATTGCGATGGGAAAGTCTGCTGTTAGGGACCTCTCTAAAGTACTCAAGAGCAATTGTGTGTCTCTAGAACTAAGGTGAATCTGATACAGGCCATGATCTTAGCAATCACTTGTTATGTATCAGAGAGTTGGACAATGACTAGGGAGGATAGAAGGAGAATTGATGCCTTTGAGCTGTGGTGTTGGACAAGAGTATTGAAAGTACCATGGACTGCCAAGAAAACAAACAGATTCATCCTAGAGAGGGTTAAACCAGACTACAGAAGGGGAAGACCCTCTATGAGGTGGATTGATTCAGTGACTGGGGTAATCAGGATGGGTGTGTCAGAGGCAGTGCGATTGGCACAGGATAGAGCAGGGTTTAGGGCTGTTGTACATAGGGTCTCTATGAGTCTCAAACAACTCGATGGCACATAACAACAACAACAACAATGAGTTGATGTATTTTTGCATTAAATATTCATTAAAACATTCTCTTCTATTAAAAATGAAAACAAATTACTACTCAAAGTTCTAAGTGATTCAGCACTTGTCTGTGAGTTTGCTGTACTGAGATAATCTGAGGTAACAGTGTTACTGAAATCAGTGCCACTGGTATGTGAAATGCCAAAAGGGTTTTCCATCATGGGCAGGTTTTGGCAGAACTCCCTGATTAAGACAGATTAGGAAGCAGGATGGGTCATCTACTTCACAAATAAAAGGCTTTTGAAAACCCTAAATAAGAAGGCAACATTGCACTGGGGAAATCTGCAGTTAGGGACCTTTCCAAATTATTGAAGAGTAATGGTGTCAGTCTGAGGACTAAGGTGTGTCTGATTCAGACTATAGTCTTTTTGATTACTAGTTATGTAACCAAGACCTGGGAAATGAATAAGGATGACAGAAAAAGAATTGACATCTTTGAGTTATGGTGTTGGAGAAGAGCACGGAACATCCCATGGACAACCAAGAGAACAAACAGTTATGTCTTGGAGAGGGTACAGCTGAAGTGTTCTTTGAAGGCAAGAATGATGAGATGTTTTTCTCACATACTTTGGGCATGTTGCTAGGAGATGTTATTCCTTGGAGAAGGACGTGATATTGGGAAGGTAGAAGGTCGACAAAGGAGAGGAATACCCTCAACCAGTTAAAATGATAATGTGATTACAGCAATGAGCTCTTCTAATGGAGCAGGATAGAATAGAGTTCAGATATTTTCTGTTCATAGGGTCACTGGGAGTCATGCTTGACTCAACGGCACCTAAGAACAGCATTACTCTGTGTGGATTGTGGATCCAAGTGAAATTAAATTATAGACAATTTCAATCTTTTCTCCATTTATCATGATGTTGGCTATTGGCCCAGTGGTGAAGATTTTATTTTCTTTATGTTAAGATGTAATCCATATTCAAGGGTAGAGAGTGGCCAAAATATTGCCCTAGGCCATCATTGTATTGATCTCCTCTCATCCGTCATCTTCTCTATCCCCATAAAAATCACCTCCATGAAAATTCACATTTAACCCTCTTGTTCACAGCTTTTTGTAAATGAGGCTCGCATTAACTACACCAATGCAGCCACTGACATGGGAGTGATCCATGGCTTGGAGAAAGTTCTGGAAATTCCAAAGAATAGATGTGATAATAACGAGACAACGATTGTTCGAGTAAGTTATATTCAGGGCCAATAAAACTATTAAGTAGTGTTGAATTTTATTATTATTATTATTATTTGGTTTGGGTTTTTTATTTCTTTTTTAAACTATTTTTTAAGCATAAGACTTAAGAATATCAGTAAGATATTGAGAACCTGGAAGGCTATGTTGAACACAACACAAAGAGTGGGGTGTGGTGCACCAATGGCAGGTACTGGCCAGACTTCATCTACTTGTCATCATTGCTGTTAGGTGCCATTAAGTTGGCTCTGACTTGTGGGGATGTTCTGTACAACACAATGCTGTGCTTCTGCCCACTGTCCACCGTGATGTTGGTCCATCTTGAAGGTCTTTCTCATTTTCATTCATCCTCTACCAAGCAAAATAGTCTCCTGATCTATCCTCTCTCAGTGCCACTGAGATGGAACCAACTCATAGCTGACCCTCCAGCCTGGTTTTCAGAAGCAGTTAGTAAGAAAGGAAGAGATTGCCCAACCTTCTCCCACAGAGCACCTGCTGGATTCAAACAGCATGTCTTCAAGATTACAGTGAAGCTTCTTGCTGCTAGGCCACCAGATCTCCATAGGGGCTTATCTACTAGGAAAAGAATATGGATATTGACTATTTCTGCGAAATACAGGATGCAAAGATAGAATTTCTCCTCCAGTGAAAAGGAACAGTGTTTTTTTAGAAAAACCAAAATAATAACCATAGATATTTTATTGGGCTGCTGTGTGAAAAAAGATGGACAATCTCCTCCCATGTGATTTACAGCCTATGAAAACCTGCTGGAAGGTCAGCTATGTGTTGGTTCCAACTCAACAGTACACAGTAATCACAACAACAACAGAAAAAATGTGTTTGGGGACTCAAAAACTCATTCAAAAGGGAGCTCTAGTGGCTAATGGCAAGAAGCTGCACTTCAATCCCAAAGGCACAGGGTTTGAATCCACCAGATGCTCTCCTCCTATACCAGTCAGATCCGATTTGACGGTAGACACACACACACACAAAATAAAATAAATTTAAAGAAAAGATCCAATTTGAAAAAAATACATTTCTTTTCTAAAAAAACCCAAAACTCACTCAAGCTCACAGCCAGTCAAGTTGGTTACAACTTTTTCTGAGAGTGTAAATAGAAATGAGAAGAGGCTGGGCATCTTTCTCTCTCAGATACACTGGGGGATTTGAACCACCAGAGATGCAGACCTTTTAGGTTAGCAGCACAGCTTACTAAGAACTATGCCACCAGAGGGACACAGAGGAGAAAGGCTCCAGCCAGCTAGGAGCTGGGCCGGTTGCTCTGTAAAGATGCTGTAGATGGCTAAGCAGGAGTCAACAAGACGAAGAAGAGAAAAGAACATTCTATGAAGAAAAGGACAGGCAATCTCTTCCCATGCAACTTACTACCTCCGAAAACCCACCGGAAGATCAGTTATGAGTCAGTTCTATACAACATGAAGAGTGAAATAAGAAAATGAGGGCCCAAAGTAGCATCCAGTGGGTCTCATTTGCAGTTTGGGGTTTGACTCTCTTCCTGAGCCCCAAGGAGTCTTCTTCCTCCTCATCTTCTATGGCTCTTGATACTTATGTGATTCATACCTTCACTCTTCCTCTGCCCCATCTCAATAAAAATAGGCCTCTTTCCATTATCGTGAAAATAGAAGTAAAACGTGTATGGGGACTCATGAAGGGAAAGGGTGCGAGCAGAGGGGTGAGGATGGACAGGAGCTAAACGACAGGGTTGGACAGTTTGCTGGATAGAGGGAGGGGGTGAAGCAGATGCGAAAGATCCAGCAGGGACCTGAGAAGACAGGGTAATGGTGGGCAAGGTCCAATGGTGATTCACTTTATAAAATATAATGCAAGGAAATGATTGCATGAAACACACTATGAATGAGGAATGGTGTGAAATACAATAAATATGAACTTTGTAAGCAAACAATATAAATTTTTTTAAAGAAAAGAAAAATATATAATATGCTAGGGAAATAGACCTCTTTGTAGAAAGATAAATTTTGGAAAGAAAAATTTAAAGGACTAGGAAACATGACTTTATTTACCATCAGTTGGTTAAAGGACAGTCCTGATATAAGAATCATTCAAAAGAAAAGAGTATTGAGTTTATTCTCATTTCCCCTGGAGAAAAATACAAAAAGAAACAATCAAGGTCTTTTTTCCAGTCAGTCCTAAGATAAAGTGATGGGCTTTGTAACCAATAGAATAATTGGTGAACTATGTCTAGACTTCAAGAAGGTTTTTCAGTCTAGTGAAATAATAGTGTAACATAACAATATAATAACTTCTGTCATTGTACCAGTACCACACTATCTTGACCACAAGGCAGTGCAGTAGGATTTGAAATCAGGGAGTGAGATGCTTCCTACCTTGTTTCTCTTTTTAAGAAGTGCTTTGCTTATTTGGGGCCTCCTTCCATTCCAAATTAAATTATAGATTACCTTTTCCATCTTGACGAAGATTGGAATTGGTATTTGCGTTGGAATTGCATTGAACATGTAGATTGCCTTTGGTAGTATTGTCATTTTCGTAGTAAGTCTTACTACCCAAGAGCAA